GGGGGGGCAGGGTATGGGGTGGGGATTTGCTTGTCTTTGTTGGCCCTGGGGTAGGGAATTTGACTGATCTTGTTCTCCCAGGGGAGGGGATATTTGAATCTTTCTTCGCCCGACGTGGAGATATTTGACTGCCGACTTGGGCGAAAAAGACTGCGACGGAACATCTGTTTCCCACTTCCACGCTTCACGCATGCGCCGTACGGTTTGAAAAGATCAGGAAGTCATGGAGGCTAATGAGAACAAGCGAAGGCTGAGTGAATTTCACTGTTTTGTCTTCAAATTTCGTTTGTTTTGGCGTGTTTTTGATCAATTGAACCTCTTAAAATACTGTGGAATCAAAATAAACGAAAGTAAAGAGAAACCAAGTCGATTTTTGCAAGCACAATTGATAAGTGTATGGCTCATTCGCTACAATCAGTGTAAACTTACGAAACTGACTTTTTTTGTACCCTTTATTAAGAACGGTATATTTAAACTTACAAAATGTGGACTTTCTCCTAAAGGTTTATGTATTCTACGCAGTGTAACACCAATTATGGTTAAAACGTATAATTGCAGCTGTCACAGGAACATGTATCTTTGGTGATGCAGCAACGTTTATAGAAGATTGCAGAGTTTTATTTGGAGATATATTTATTGTGCCTTTCTTCGGTTCTGCCTTGGGATTGACAGCAATGTGCAGCCTAGGGTGGGGAAATTTGGTTGCATTTGACTGGAATGACTTGCCCGTGGGCAGGGAATTTGATTGCAAATTTTTGAAAAAAGTCAAATCTCCACCCTACGCTCTGCCTCCCTCCCCGAAGGCATTACATTGATACGTGCATTATACCTGCTGAAGCTTGTGGATTGCAGGACGACGTGATTGTACTTTTTTTACTGGTCGCGCTTGCGCAGTACACTGTAACTCTCTTCTGGTCGTAAAAGAAGCTTTAATGGAAAAGTGGAATCTCATACAAAACCAACCGCTACTTTGCTAATTTTTTAAAGAACCATCCCTTAATTATTTCCTGAAAGAAAGGAAAACCATGGCAAAGAACATGCTTGTTGGAGCCAAAATATTAAAGGTCTTTCACGCCGGTATAGATGTGCAACCTGTCACCCCTTGCAGTTTTTCACCAAAAATAATTTACGTATCCAAAAGGTTAGACTGGGCGTTTCCCTCTGTGTCCAATTAACCTCTCTTCATTACTTTTTATAGTGCCCTGTGATCAACAGGGAAACCAAGTTCGCATTTGCAATAAACGCTTTGGTGAAATACACTATCATGTTGCATAATGAAGTTTAAGTTCAATCAAATGATGCATTTTTACAAGTTTTACATGTTTTATAGGGATCAAAGTCTTGAAACTGATTGAAACACATAACAAATATTAATAATTAACATGCATTTTTACTTATTAACTGAGATTAACCGACAACCGACAAAGATCGAAATTTTTAACCGACTACCGACAAAGTAACTAAATTTTAACCGACAACCGACAACCGACAAGTGGACCCCCCCCCCATTCAGACCCTCTTAAAACAGGCCTTAGCGATATGGATTAGTCTCAGTAAAAGAAAAACTTCACCAGTTTATTTTCAGGTATGCCACTGCAAATAGAATAAGTAGAATATGTGATAAAAATAAATAAGACACTGTACAAAAGCTATTTACAATCAAACTTAGCAATACTATCAAAAAGTATCACAAAGTCGATTAAAGGACGATTCGTAGATACTATTAAAATAAGTAGAATTGTCCTTTCCTCTCAAGGTATATGTTGTTTCTCTTGATGAGATTAACTCATTCAAACACTCCGGGTTTGTTTCATGATTTACTAGTTTATAAACCGAACAGAGGATTTTATGCAATCTTGGCTCCATCAGGGTTCTTCCGGACCCAAAAGCTTGAAAAAGTTCTTCATATATAGTGTGCCTGTCTACTAGCTAAAAACAAACCGAACGGCTCCTTCATTTACTTTTTACACTGCATGAAAAATTGGATTTACACAAATTTACTCGGTGCAAATATGATACATGATGCTTGCCTGTTTACATGGGGTTGTAAATTTGAGGGCAAATGCGGTATTTACCATCTTTGCCTTATGTTTAACCTAAGTTTGCACTTTTTTGCACCAAATTTGCACTGAGTAAATTTGATGTAAATCAAATTTTTCGTGCAGTGTTACCAGTTTTTAGCTTAACTCTTATGGCAGAAATGTCAGGTGTCATCACCATAACCTGGTATTTAGAATGCAGGTTTCTCAGTTTCATGCCACTTTCCAAAAACCATTTATATCTACTAGGTATGATAAGTCAGAGTGTACCGGTTTCTCGGACTATCAAAGGATCCTTAACGACAAAGAATATCTGTCACCTGCGTAAGTCGATAGGTTGCTTCGTTTTATCACGTAAACGAGATCTTTCATAAATATTTAAATAGAACAGGGCCAAGTACGGATCCTTGGAGAATTCCAGCCGTTATATCCTGCCCTGTCGAATGCGAAACGTTTCCAAGTTTTACCGGTTGCCTTCGATTAGAAAGATATAGAGTCTCACGTTCAGAGACACTTCATTTTAACGCCAGACGTTTGCAGTTGCGTCTGAAAATACGTTTTATGCAATTCCTGGGTACTGTATAACCGTTTAGAGGCCAGAATATTGGCTCTGAAGCCCAGGGTTATGTCCCTGTTAGTATTTTAAGGGGAGATTACAGTTTAAATTTTGGGGGAATTGGGGTTGAATTGAAAATGAAAGAAAGAAGGATAGAAAAGGGTAATTACACGTAAGCCAGTTAGTCCGCTCTGAATTGGCTCAGGGCCATCTTGTTGTGGTGGCGGAATGCCTGGTCTTTTATCTATTAATTATTCTCTTCAAATTTTAATTTTTAACTACCTTAAATCCAACATTCTCTCATTTTTCCATAACTTTTCACATTTGCCCTTCAAAGTTTTATTGATTACAAATATTCTAACTTTACCAAAAAAATCTCAAAAACTCATCGTTCCAAGAACTTCAGAATGAGTGATTTATTTTTAAAATCGAATGACATTCTGACAAGATTTTCAAGGAAAAGTACTCAAGTATAATACACACACGGAGTTTAACTGTAATCAACCCTTTACACTGTTTATGAGCTTTTCTTCCTCGCTGCCGCAGTTTCAGCCCATCTTTGTGTCGTTTGTCGCCATTTTTAAAGCTGTCTTGAGTCGCTGTTTCAAGGGCATGTCGCTCAGTGTCGGGATTTTACCCTTGTGGATAGTACTATATAATATATAAACACCCACATCGTGATTGGACTGTCTTTGTTCCTACCTTATATCCCCTTTATTTCAAGTGTATTTAGAAAGAAAAACAGATTCAAATGCTTCGGGAGCCGATAGGACTTGTACAATATAATCGGATTCTGAAGCGAATTTAATTTTTGTTGTTGTTGTTGTTTTTGAAAGAGTTGACTTGGTTGTTTCAGCTACCTTACAAGCTCAAATAATAGAATTATTTTTTCTTCTAAACTGACTTACAAAAGATTTATAGATTCAAAAAATGATTGGCATGGTTAGTTCTGATCGGTAAGCAAAGAACGGATAAACCACCCCATTATTAAGTCCCGTTAGTGGGCCCATTGTAAGGCTTTGGGAAAAAAGCGAATCAGGTTTTCCCGGTTAATGTTTTAACTATTTGCTGTCTTCTACACAAGCTCTATGTGTTCTGGGTTCTCGGTTGTTTTGTCTACTTGGTTCTCGTTGACATCGTTATTACTCCTTGCTTTACTTTATAAGGTGTCGTCTTGTTTATTGCCATTTGCTTCTTCGCTCTTCAACCCAGGCTCCTCATCTACCATTTCTATCTGTTGTACTTCAACTTCTGGCGGTGAAATGTGCATGCAGCTACAAAATAGGAAATGTAGAAACAAAAATCACTTAGGTCATCTTCTCAGTGTTCTTACCTGGTAAACACAAATGATTATTATGTTATTAGAAAGAATGAAATTAAGTTTCTGAGCCAGTGACGTCACTTTCAAAATAACACTAAAAACTCCCATAACTGCTATTCTTTAAACGAAAGGAATGCACAGGGTGGAAAAACCTATCTGCCCCAAACTCCTTCTTAACTGAATTTAACAAGGTACTGAATTTCTGAAACTTCATTAAAGGAAATAACTTTTCCTTTTTTTGAAGAAGAAGATGAACCGAAACGCATGGTTACTTGTTTCCAAATCTTAGCACGAAAATAATCATGGCTTTTTCAAAAATTGAAGAATCTTATTATCAATTATCCAAAATAAATCAAAATGTTAAACTCCTTGTATTGTAATTTTAGCCAAGAAGATTAAGACTGAAGCACAATTGAGCAACAGATATTAGTGTGATGAGAAAACGACCGGTGGAAAACAAGAAAAATATAAAATTAAAAGTCAATTGACTTGAGGTTTCTTATTGCAGACAACGCACAGTTCGCAAGCTGGAGATCGGGTAAAGAGCTTTCAAACTGAGTACTATAGAGTACTAAAGTGATGACGTCATAAAAATGAAATTTCTGAAATTATGGGATTTGTCTGGATATTCTGAAAGAACAATGTCCAAGAGGCCTACTTGCCAAAAATGAGCATTTCGCGGCAAATTGTCTCTGAGATCGTAGCCCAGTTATACTGAGAAAACTCCATACAAACCCTTGTAATTTTTTTTTGGGTCGACCCAAAAAAAATTTAGGAGGGTTTGTATGGAGTTTTGTAAGCATAACTGGGCTACGATCTCAGAAACAATTTGCCCCCAAATGCTCATTTTTGGCAAGTAGGCCTCTTGGACATTGTTCTTTCAAAATATCCTGACAAATCCCATAATTTCAGAAATTTCATTTTTATGACGTCACACTTTAGTACTCTATTGACATAGCAAAAACAAGCTAAGTGTCAAATGAATCCCGCATGTACTGCAGAGGCTGCAATACTCCACACATTTGTTGAAATACTTAATGTCACGTTACGCCCTCCCCAATTTTGATACACGTATCACCCATTTGCAAATAAACGCCAATCACAACTTTGGGGAAGGAGAGAAGAAGTACACACGGGCAAAAGTTGGTTGAAAAGGCGTGACATGAAAAAACCTCACTTTCAGTCTAATGTTTCAACGAAATTTGAAGAGTATTGTAGCTACTATTAAGAGCCATACTGGATCTTACTATCATAGAATAGCTTGACAGATGTTGTTTTATTCACGCCGATCAGCCTGGTCTTCAATGAGACGAAACAATTACAACGACCTTGACTTTCATTACCTGATGATTACAAGTGGAAAAATTTTCAAAGCAGCGTTTAACACAAATACTAAGCCATTGAAGCCGATGCCCAGCGTCGATTCATAAACATTGTTAAAAATCATTGCACCAATAAACATTGAAAAGATATTCAGAATCCCGTAGGCACAAAACAAGGAACCTGAATGAAAAAAAAAAAAAAAAAATTATTCGTTTGCACAATGTTAGGGGGTTTGAGGCGTGCTTAAATGCGCACGGTCATAACCGCTTAGTTGGTCCTTGTATAGCTCCAGACGAAGGTGTGAAACAATAATTCACCGCCGTCATACGAGAGAAATTTGTAAAGTTCTCTCGGCGTAGCTTATCGAACACAATCGAACTTACCTCACGCTTTGTATAATTTGGCAACTGACCGACAAACTAGAAGTGTAAGAGTGTAAGTCTTATCTCCGTTACCGCCTTTAAGCACTGCCTGTTATTATGTACAAATATCTTATCAAGACAATAAATTTTGCCTCTGTATGCTCCGAGGTTTTATCACACCGTTCATGTTTCCCAGTGTTAACTGTGAATTTATCGATTTTGAATCGCTTTAATTTAACACTAAAGATTTTTTTTAATTCCTGGTTAATTGAAATATTTTTGTTTAATTTCTAACTGCTTCACAAACATATTGAACCTGGATGCGTTTTGTCCTTCTGCCGAACAAAATCGAACTAATCGAGTCGATTGAGTTCCATTGGTTCGTCTAAGTTCGGTAATCGAACTTACGAGTTCGATTTATCGAACTCACCCCGAACTCACCCAAAAGTTCCAGTTCGATTATGCTGGTTTGATTGAGTTCGATTGATTTTTGTTCGGTTTTGTTCGATTAGCTAAGCCAGGAGTACTTCAAAGTTAAGCTTGTTACTTTTATTGAAAGTTTAAGATATTATCAACACACTGCAAGGTATCAGAACTGCCATAAAGTCAACAAATGATCATGCTTACAAAACTGGTCCTTACTTGAAATGTACTCTTAACTTGGACTCAAATTCAAAAAATGAAGCATTTTCGTTAAATAGTAGTAGAGAAAATGAAGGCCAAAGTTGGTATCTAAGAGCGCTATTTTGGAAATATTTTAATCACAAGGCTGAAATCCGACGCGATACTTTCCACTGTTGACAGAAATGTTGCAATTTTCACAACCAGACACGCGACATGACCCAATCGAACATAATCGAACTGGAACTTTTGGGTTAGTTCTAGTGTTATGGTCAGGGCTCTAATCATAACACTAGTTTCAGTTTTCAAACATTTACAACTTTTTAGTGAAGTTTTAAAAAAATTAGGAAATTAAGGACGGTGCCCACTGCTGGTAAGTATTTTTCCCAAAAACGAAAACTGGGGTAACCACGCATTTTTCAGAGATGACTGTGCTTCAATATGGGGAAAAACGCTGAATAGGCATTTTTTTTAAAAAATTTTAAAAGTTACTTTTATCCCCAAATTTCAGTGTACCGTGTGAACCTGCACAAATTCAATGATAATTGTAACAAGGCTTCAAAATAAGCAACAAATAATAACATAAACAACGGCTCCTTACATATTTTTTTTGAAATACGCAAATTTATTGGAAGAAAAGAAAGCGTTTGCATAAGAGACGAGTTCAACTCCCACAGGGTTTGTAAATCTCGGAACACTAACATGGCCGTCGTTTCTTTGTTTTGCAACACCAATATGGCCACCGTGATGTCATGTGAAAATGCTCTGTAGCTTGATAGATCCGTTTCCCACTATTCATCCATTGAACACATCACGTTACCATAGCGACAGAATAATCTGTTAAAACCTTCCGTACTAGTTTAGCAACTCTGTGTTCCCCAATTTTTACATCAAAACTTAGCACTGTAGTTTTAAATCTCACGTGTTATTGCGATCTTACAGGCACATACCCTGTTCATCAGCTTCGACTGTGTTCGATGCAATGGCGATCAAAATTGGACCGACAGCTCCACTGAAAAATCCCAACGCAGGTGCTACAGAGTAAGACAAAAAGTTGCAAAATTTATAAATGACTGTTCATGACTGCGACTACCGGGCACAAATTTGAGGCCTGGGTGGAAAAAATACAGTGATTTGTATCAAGTTGTCCAATACGGGAAAACGGGAAAGGTCTATTCAACTTAAGCCATTACGTTACGCTCACCAGTAAACTTGGTTTTACATAGGTTGCATATATACAGACGGCTTCCGCTATTTCCTTTGCTTTAGGAAATACTGCATACAAGTTTATTTGAATCCACTCACACCAAAAAAAAAAAAAATTCACGACAGATCACATACAAAACCCTGCCTACATACCAGTGAAAACCAACCATGTGCGGTCTGCAAACGCCAGGATTCCCATTTCAACCATCTGATTAATAATCGCGATAAGAGAAGTTGTTTTCTCGCTGAAACAAATTCGGAACAACTTTACTCCCACCACTCCTCCAAATCCCTGAAGGAACATCCTGTACGCCAGGAAGTAACCCACAAGCGTTGGACCAAAACACAGCGGACTCCTCATCACGAAAAGAGCTGGAACAACTCCAAGTCCCTGATCCGTTACGGTTAGAATAGCTCCTGCAACCGCCACCAGCAGCAGAGTTTTTCGCGCACTCCCTGGGCGTGGCTTCTTGAAGACCTTTACAGGAATCTTTAAATTTTTAAGATCAAAAAACTTGTGTTTGACATTCGCGCGGGTTTGATTATGGAGTTCTGGCACCATGAATATGGCCCAGAGGCCGCTCGCCAATAGACAGGCAAGGACGAGCCATGTTGGTGCAATAAACCCGAACCTATTAATCCACAAACCACTGGTCAGCTGACTAATGACTCCACTAGTGAAAACAAGCATCTGCATGATGGCTGAAAGTAAAAGGAAACAGTTAGCATTCTCTCTACACTTCTTTCTACACATGAAGTACGCCTATACAGGCCTGAAACATCCGCGCTCCTTTTGGGTCCTTGCTCCTGGTCTTCCTCTCTTTACTGACTCTTTCAAGCGCTATCCTGCGAATACAGCCGCCTTTCACTGTCCCTCGTAGCGGTGAACAACACCAAACGACTGTTTTCTCGCCCAATGTAAGGGAATTCAAGATAGTCTTGGATTCTGGATACCATGCCATCGATGGATTCCGGGTTCCAGGTAATGGATTTCAGAATCAGGTGGACTTCAGGACACCAGATTCTATCGTTAGTGGGATTCTGGATTTCTTACGATGTATTCCGGGTTCCGAAGCCCAGGATTCTGGTTTCCATCAGCAAGAATGTCTCGGTTTCCGGACTCCGGATTTCCTTACATGGGGCGAGTTTTCGCAGGCTATTCACCGTGTCTACGATAACAACATCATGGCAACAGGCAAGAATGAGAACAATTAGAAAGGTTGTCAATAATCCCCTCTGTTAGCTATATTTGTGGGTGTTACAATGCACTTATACCTGCAATATAAAGCAAACTCTACAAATGTTTATATCATAGGTCTCACCTAATCTGAACGCGATTCCTGTCTTCTCAGTTGTGTTGGCGATATACGACATGACGGCTAACGAGAGAGTCGTCAAAAATCCCGAACTTCCGATCACAGCTGAGCCCACAAACATCACATACAAAGGCAAATCGAGGTACATTACCATAAGCATCACTATAGTTCCCAAAACACCTCCAATTTCAGGTGCTATGAGGGCCGGTTTTGTCCGACCTGTCTTATCAGTCCAAGGACCCCAAAATGGTGCAACAATTAGCGACGGAATGGTCATGAAAAAGGTGTTCCCTAAGTCTATTTTCGTGGCTAGACTTTGCACCTGCGTAATGAGAAAAAGATAAACATAGGCACGTTTAACGTGCATGAGCTGTTTTGAATGCTTCAGTGTAACCGTATCAACAATCTACAACTTTTTTAGTCGTAAATTAAGATTTTTGTACGAAATGGGGATTGCTGTACATTAATGAAAACTCGAACCGCTGCGCACAGCTGGGCCGAGTCGATCCTCATACTATAGATTCACTTTTCTTTGTCTTCTTCTGACAGAAGTATAGCTAAGAAATGTCACGATTTTCATCATTGTTGTAGATAATTGCATCATCATTATTCACGTAGTTGTCACGTGTGATTGCACTTGATGAAAGAGTCTTTAATTAACTCTGACGACTTGATTCTAAAAGTGTTATAGGTTATTGCTTTTTAAGAAAACAGCCTTTACTTAAGGCACTAGCAACTAAACAAAAAAGGTCTTCATACATTCAAGTTACAATTATTACTGTGAAAAGCCAGTCTGCATGAGATATACAGCCACAGAGTTTGCACGTGAAAGTGTTGGACTTTGCCCCTTTCGTGGTTTGTACGTCAGGCCGGGAATTCGAATTATCACACAGTAATCCAGTAAGCAGGATAATAAAAATAACTCACGAACACAATTTGCTCGTGAATATGTTGGACTTTGTCCCTTTTACAATTCTCAAATAAAAGAACTTGTTTGTATAGGTAATAGCATAAATTGTAGTGATATTTGGTATAAGTGCCAAGAGTGATATTTCGAAATTGTCATACGTAATTTCATGAGCCGTTAGGCGAGTGAAAGTTGAGACAATTTTGAAATATCACGAGTGGTATTTATGCCAAATATCACGTACAAATCACGCTATTATTTGGTTACACTACCACCCGCAAAAGGTTCGTAATTTTCAGATGTAGGTATTTCAAATTAAGCTGAAATACCACTGCTCTCAGCCAATCAAATTGCAGAAATTTCTCATGTAGTAGTATAAACAAGAAAATTTGCTCAAACGATTTTAAGTAATCACCTCGGCTTTACAACATCTGCAATTAAATTACGCTTCATACAAAGTTAAAGGTGGATAGCCTAACATTTATTTCCTTCCAAGAAAATTATCAAACTGCCGAATTATATGTCTACTCATATCATGTTATTCCACTCAACAAAACAATGTCTAATTATTTTGTCAACTAGCTTCTTCTAATTTTATTCCCTAACGCTACTATCTCTACTTAAGTTACGCTTCTTTACTAAATAAAATACGTTTCAATAACTATAATGACTCGTAAGTATGGAAAGCCATAACTTTCTTATGTGGTTATTTATCATTATGTGGTGTGGTTTCTTCATTATTTGGTGTGGTTTCTTCATTATGTGGTGTGGTTTCTTCATTATGTCTCGTGGTTACTTCATTACTCCATTATGCCTTGTAGCTACTTCATTATGTCTCGTTGTTACTTCATTATGTCTCGTGGTTACTTCATTACTCCATTACGCCTTGTAGTTACTTCATTATGTCTCGTTGTTACTTCATTATGTCTTGTGGTTTCTTCATTATGTCTTGTGGTTACTTCATTATATGGTTTGTTTATTATGTGATGTGGTTTCGTTTTTATGTTTTGTTGACTTCGCTTCCGGTATGAAGCTCTAGTACCCAGGCTTTACTCGTTACCAAGAACTAGTTAAACCGGTTTTAAGAGGGGCCCCAGTTCCAGCCGCGTTGTCAAAGATTACAAAACGGCGGAAACAGGCAACCATTCATCTTGTAGGTCCCGGCAGTGGGGAATTTGTCAGAAAACTTCTGGCAGGGGGTGGGGAAATTGTCAATTTTTCTAGAAAAGGTTAACGTCGTTCTTTTTTTAATATTTCCCTTAAAAATATGCCTATATATTTCTCTAAAGAATACTTATAATAATTTTGCTTTAAAAAGATATGTGCGGTTTTCACTCCATCACTTCTGCATCCGTCTGGGAAAATGCCTGCCGCCATCATGACGTGATCAGTTCGAACATGGAGGAAAAACAATTAATGTATCGCTTGAAGAGTTAAGTTTAAAGGAAAGACACTTTCTTTGTGCGTGAATGGTTGAGGCAGAAAGGCCTAGAAAAACTTTGCGAGATATTTGAAAGTTAATGTAAACTTCGTGTATTGTACGACCAATGCGGCAAGTAATACGCTGACGAAACAGTTCTGCTACGATGAGAAAATGTTTAATAGCTCATCAGTTGAATTTTTTTTATTCACTATATTAAACGTCTTCGAAAATAAGAAGTATTATTAAAATTCTAGTTTACAGTTCTATAATTGATATTAATCAAATGGATGTGATCTTTTTTTTGTAATAATTGTAACTTGCCACTAAGGGCCATTTGCGTAGGGCGCTTCACACGTTTTGATAAGGTTATTAGAAATCCATAAATGTGGTTTTTGCAGATTATTTACTGGAAAATACAGTTTTGGTGTTGTCCCGGAGTGGGGCATTTGCACCCTATTTTTAAGCCCCACCGTGGGATTTTTGTATGAACGCCCGGCCCCACCATGGGGCATTTGCAGCTCAGTTTCCAAAACAAAATGACAAAATGGTTAGCTCGAAAGCTAAGCTCCTTGACCACCGTACACTTCTATCCAAGCCATTAATTTTCTTTTTTCCTTCTTCTTCTCCTCCTTTATTAGTGTATTCCTACCTTAATATATATAATGTGAATATTTTATAAAAGTGTAAATAAAATTGAATTGAATTGAATTGAATTGAAATGCCCAACAAATGCACGGGGGGATGAGCACACTTGGAATTGATTGAGCCATTATGCCGAGTCCAAGCACTTGCTTTTCTGTCGACGACGAAATTCTCGATTGATGGCGGCTGGCTAAACAAATGAAAGTTACTGTCCAACTCTCGTCGAAGAAACTTCTCATTTCTCACCACGTCCACCCCTTCTACTGCTGCCACTACGTCCGCTGAAAAGAGCCACGCGTTCGCAAAGAGCAGATGCAGCCATAGACTTTTTTTTTTTTTTCGGTGTCAGCACAAAGGGCACGGAGGCGATGACGATCCTCGATCGTAGTTACACCAAGACGTACAAGCTCGTCATCGGACAACTCTGATACATTTTCAGGCTCAATTCTTTTGGCAGCAAATTTCGAAAAAAGAGATTCGAGTTTGAGGTCCTTCAGAATACTCTTCATGATGTTTTCTTCCTTTATCCCACCATTTTGTTATCTTTGACAACGCTGAAGAGCAGGAACTGGGGCCCCTCTTAAAACCGGTTTGACTAGTTCCTAGTAACGAGTAAAGCCTGGGTACTAGAGCTTTACACCGGAAGTGAAGTCAAAAAAACATGAAGACGAAACCACATCACATAATGAACAAACCACATCACATAGTGAACAAACCACATAATGAAGTAACCACAAGACATAAAGAAGTAACCACAAGACATAATGAAGAAACCACAAGACATAATGAAGTAACCACAAGACATAATGAAGAAAAAGACCACACCACATAATGATAAATAACCACATAAGAAAGTTATGGCTTTCCATACTTAAGCAGCAAGCATGTATTATGTTGTTCACCTAATTCACGTTTGGTATTATCCACTTGGTATCATCTCTGTGCGGTGATGAACTCAGAACTTCTTGGAAGCAGCCTCCCAGTTAGTGGTCGGAGTACGACTTGAACTTTCATAAGTAGTTTCAATTTCAAAGAAAAGCACTAAGGTTATTGGTGGAAAATTATTTTGTCTAATTAGAGATTAGGGGTGTGTCGTGATTAAGGGCGGAGAAAGAGGAAGCCCCTGAGACCCTTATGTGCCGCCCTCAGATTGCCAAGTAAACTCAAAAAATTTAATCCGTCTTACTTCTTCCTCTAGTCGTTTCAAAGTGGCGTTTGCTCCAAAGACGTCTTCATGACACCCAGGACCTTCTTTTTCCATTATTAGCTCCTTATATGGAAACCCTTTCCCGTCACTGATGACACTGTACACATATTGCCGAAACAAAGGCAAGCTTGTGAAGAGGCCGTATGCATAAAATAGTATGACAGGCTCCACTGTTAAGAAGCTTCTCCAGCTCGGAAGTTTTTGTTGAGGCATCTTGTTATCGTAGAGTAATAAGAAGACAACTGCACGATCTTTGGGAGAATATCTCACTTGAAATAACCCTGAAACTAGATAAATCGAATCATTATTCATTCAAAATATTTCCACGTTTGTGATTGGCTTACATCTCCCAGCTATGGTATAGTAATTTTTTCGTAATCAGCCAGCCTTGAAAAAATTTGGCAAATGCTTGCCGATATCAAGGCAATTGACGTCAATTGTACTGACACCTACAGAAACGGGACTGACGGTTTAGTGCCTCAGCTGTCTCGATCTGAGTTCACATCATTGCAAAGCCCAATCCAAGAATTGCTACATGTATTCAAAAGCAAAATTTGTTATGTTTTTAAAGATCTTTTAGGGCGTGCCTTTGCTTTCTTGGCTTTTGGTTCTTCTTAAACGTACTTTTCTTACGAACTTTTTTAAAGGGTCATCCGTAAATTTCTAGTCACAGTTGTTGTGCTGGTGTAAATCCTTTCAGTTTCTTGTGGGGACTATAAATGTGTCTAGACCACAACAATAAATCTGGAAGAACTTTAATTAGAGAAACCATCAAGTAAGTTTTTTGGCCCCGCTATGTGTCACTGACTTACTACCAAAAACATGCCACTGATCGACAGGTTTTGCAAATCGATAAAAAAATTATTTTTGGAAATAAACAAAAAAATTGATTTTTTTCTTTATTATTATTTTTCTCCGTCCTCCGTCCACCGTCCGCCTTCCACTGTCCACCGCCACATATTATCCTTTTCCACCGTCCTAAATGAAGATCCCGATCATTTATACGAAGTTTATCTAGTCTATGAGTTTTAAGGTTAAACTTGTTTTTACTGGGCTGCCTGAAGCAAGCCCAGTTATAGCATGGGATTGGTTTTTCCTTCCGGCACAAATCGCACTCTGGCGTGTTAAGCGCGTGCGCAAGATATAAGTGTATGCGTAGAATGCGGTGAATAGATCAGCGCACTTCAGCAGAGTACATTCCGAGGAGCTAGAAACGATTCAATGCTATTAGCAATCTATCTTCGGTGGAAGCATACGAATGCAAACATACGAATGTAAACGCTGTTGATGGTTAGCCCACAGTAAAAGATGGCAAGAGTACATTTTGGAAGTGGTATAGTTCATGACGAGAGACCCATTTACAAGCGAACTCTTCCAAGTGAGTCTTTATCAGGAAACCTTGTACAGTTAGTGCGCTACGTACTGATCGAGTGAGAAGCGCTAAAAGAATCACCCGAATTAGCTGTTAAACTCAAACTGTTCGGTATGTAAACATTACGAGCAACTGGATCAGTGAAATTCAACAGTGTTTTTGATCAACACAACAGCCTTATGGAAGAATTCAGTACTTCAATAGCCAGCTTTTAGGTAACATATACTTGCTTTCAGCTGTGCTTTTACGTTTAATTTTTTATTGATTTTATTTTTCTTTGTTTTTATCATCATTTATACAATTATTGTAATCACGTCTTTAGTGATCAATCTTCTAATGTCGTATGTAGATGTTTATACAGAGGCTGTTGTTATTTCAATATGTATAAAACCAATCAATTGACCGGAAATGTTTACAACGATTCCGAGATAACAATAAAGCTTAAAGAAGATATAAGATCTTGCTATGCAAAGTATATTTTCTTGCTAGGAAAGATAGACAACGTGATCGTGGTGAGCCTAGTCCTTTTAGGTCTTTTTACTGACCGAAATGACGTATTTTCCTACGCTTTCATATGTACTTCAGCTAGTGAAATTTATACTCTTTTGTATACCTGAAGCCTAAAAAAGGTACCCCTTTCGCGCGGAGCCTCCCCACTAGGTAATTATGTGGAGTGCCCCACGGGATAAAAAGCGCCATCAGGAGCCCATTCCTGGCGCCATATATGACCTCCGTAATGAACACTCTTATCTTATGCACACGCTAGCCTGTGTACAGACGTCCCTTCTATGATAGTTCAAAAAATTGAATGAGTTCATTTTCATCCGATCGGTTCGCAGTGTATAAACAACTTTGTCCATGTCTAACCAGTTTGGTTTAGTTTAGACAATTTAACTCTGTGCGCCGCTCTAACTACAGCTCAATGGTATAGCACGCGATTACAGTCGAGGCAGGTCAAGCGTACCCCAAAATGAATCCGTCAGTCGTTCCGGTAACTAGTGTTAAATTCAAATCGGCATTCCTGCATGCGTCCTGAGCAGTGAATATTTTGCGAGAACTTCTCTGTATTTGGTCAGATTGAAAATCTTTAAATGGGTCAAATTTCATAGAAGACTTTTACGTCAAATTCAGGGAAACTTAGCTGGTAGAAATTTCGTAACTGAATCGTGTGTGAATTCACAGACATTACGCATGTAAGAATGCAGACATGAATCTGAAATCTACAACTACCAACGGATTCAACTTTCGAATAATAAATTCATTAATGTAATCTTGGGGGGTACGCTTGACTTGGGTTTAGATAAGTCGGGAAGACTTATCTAGGAAGATCGACGGAGACTCTGCTCGCAGAGTAGACTTGGGTTGACGCTTTCCTCCTACGACCGGGACGATTTTTTTTATTGTTTTCCTCAAATATAGAGACAAGCTGTCCACAAAACAAAAAAAGGTCAGATAAACTAGAGATACCGTGTGGGAGGAAATTTTTGCGGGTTCTAATTTTTACGATTTTTTGCGATTTATCCAGCGATCCGCAAAAATAATTTCCCAAAAAAAAATTAACGAAAACATTTTTCCCGCAAAAATGTACTCCAGAGTATTAAATATACTTTGACTAAAATAAAGAAATCGTGTCTGTTCAGTTACAACTCGCCTCTTCAATTCAGAAAGAAAATGGTTTACGATGAATTGGTTTTTCATAATGTACGCATATCGTAGTACTGTTTGAAATCTGTATTTCGATTACACCCTAAATGCAAGTACTTGCCAAGAACAAAATCCTGGGTACTGGGTACTTTTTGAAAATTAATTCTTATAGCGCTCACACACTACACGAAATTGTGACTCTTGAATCTATAAGCTTTAGTTTTTAATCCGATCTGTCAGCAAGTTCTCTTTCGCTCAGTTATGTTGTTAATTTAATTGAATACTTCAAATATTCAACTCTGTAATCAGTAAAATCTGACAGACGAGGGAAACTATTAATAACAAAGTTTAAAAGATGAGGAAAATCACGCCATCTCACAATCACGCTACACTCTTGCTTCATAACACCTAGTCTCAAAAATTAGTTTCCGCGAAACAGGAAAAATGCCCAATCCGTAAAAATAAACAACCACAAAAATTTCGTGCCACACGATACACCCACCTAGCTTGCTTTGTATCGACCATCAATCATCATTTTCATTTATTTATAGCTTCAGTTCAAACAATTTAATGAGACCCGTGGGTTGGGGTGGTGTCCGGCATGGGAATGGGTTTAGCAGGGTTACTTCTTCCTTTCATACGCTGTCAGCTGTCTGTTGTGGTAAACTTCTCGTTTTCATACAATACATAATTTCTATCTAGTCTAGGTTTTATGGCAGCACAGTATACACCTTCTGGTGTATAGTCTTTAAACTAATCTGTGACCCGTGGATGCTCGCATCGTATTTGAATTGTAATGAAAGATCCCGCTCTCGTTGACATCCGGTCCACTCAATAATTAATCGTTATTGTTAGCCATTAGCAAGAGATACGAGGAGCGAAACAGCAGTTGCACATTGAGAAGGCATTCCAATAAATTCTCACGATTTGGGCTAACCTTGATTGATGATCTGTTTTAACATGCTCTTAAAACTGAACTATTTAAAAGTTAAGTTAAAACTAGGTTGCGTGATGTGTCAGGATCATGATAGTGGAGGCTCATGGGTCCTTAAGACCCGTCGGTTCTTGTTCCTGATGAGCATGTTAGCAAAGAAAACGCGGTTAACAAAAATCGGCCCAATAACATTGAAGAAAATAAGTCTACATGAAATGGAATTTGATTCAATGTTTGAAATTTGCAGCTGAACATATTAACACCATTCTTTGAAAATTGTGATGATGTGATAAATAGGAACAGGTCGCTGCATGCATCACAACATCGCAGTGACTCAATAAGTCAGGATTTATTTGCTGGGGGCAAAAGCAGTTGTGCTGACGGTGGTGCGGGCAACCGTGCGGAAAACCCTATGATGCAAAATTAATGTAGTCATTCCTTATTGCGCCCAGTTACCCTGCCTTATTTGCTGATCGTTAAATTAACTTGTCTAACACTTTCACTGCGGAGGACGTTGCTTGCCACCTCCGTAAACGACCCGAAATGTTGCCAGTGTCAGTGGTAGTCGGCTCCTGGTACTGATCACCTACACCCACTGACATCATGTGCCTAAAAACTTAGGCTACTGCCTACATTTTTTACAACACTAAAGAAGCAATGCAAAAACCTACCTTGATATACTGCGATGATGGTTGGCGTCGATGATCGTATTTACTTGTTGACTACCGGTAAATAATATCGGTAAACGAAATAAGGAAATATGGATTGCAAACGGCAGTTTACACAGCTCTGTGTCACGCAATTTGGTTTTATAATATGTAATCTTAGGAGCATAGCTTGGCACACACGTAACCACAGTTTTGGACAAAATAAATGGAAAATCCCCCTCCCCACAAGTCAAAGAGGGGCTTCATCCTTGATTTCGGAGGGATGGGGGTGGGATGGTTGCTGTTCCATTTTATTCTGTCCAAGGTTGCAGGTTCGACATAGACTTCGCGTACTTCGTCGTTTTTTTCAGAGATTGTAGAGCAAGCGAATTACGCAAGTGCGCGTGAAAATCTCCTGCCATAATGTAGTTGACGCGATGTCGCTTTTTTCGTGGGTGGCGTTATCGCGCGCGCACGTTAACTCTCCGTGGTCTAAATCTCGGCCTTGAGGCTCCTTCAGTTTTCTTCGCATATTCGAAACAAAGTATTCGCTATTGTTCTAAAGGCCATATGACGCGTTTCCTCCTTGATTTGGGCGAATGGGGGTTTGCTGTTCCATTTTTTTCAGTCCAAGATTCGGTAGGTTTGAAAGAAACTTGAAATCGCTTATTTAGGCGGAAAAACCTGCCGTTAAGAGGGAAAGCGGGGAAATATTAAGTGTGCCATGGTGCTTATCCGAACCCGTAAGGCTGAGTACTTTTAAGTTAAGGGGTGGGGCCATGATATTCCTACTAACGTGTTTAGATACGGCTAGAAATGTATTTAAAACAATTATCTTTTAATAATGAGTGATGTAGCAAATTTTTAATTAAGTTATTTTCACTTTTGTAAGTTATGAATCTGAGACCAGGGACCAGGTAATATTTTTTTTCTCGACCACCTCAAATAGCCGGCCCACAGCCCTCTCTGCAGTTCCTCCCTATTCTACTCGAAGTCCATATGGGTTCCTGCTTCCATTAATTGTACTTTCTTATAACTTGTGGGACATTTCTGAGAGGCAGGTTAGACAGAGGAGAAATTCTTCTGAATATGCGATATTTCTGAGTCAAAGCATGAAAGGTTGGCGCCATTTTTTCCGGATTATGTGGTCTATGAACGATAAAGCTTACCCTTTTTCAGAGGCTACCAAAAGGATTTTCTGTTCAAAGCAAGCAAAGACAAAAATAGACAAGAGCCTGTATAAATTAAACTTAAGACATAAGGTCATTAAGTACACTTGTCACCGTTCGATATGTAAGACTAACTATTATTATATGGTTATGTACATGTCTCAAAAGGACTGGAAACAAACAATTTCAAGAATTTGATTGGCTAAAATCGATCTTGACCGCGGTCTGGATTTTCAGCATCTACACCGGCATCTAGACCGATCTTGTTGTAACAGTTGTCATCAAAAAGTTACCAACAAAATATATGAAAAAATTGGCTTGTTTGTACAAAGTCTGTCCAAAGCTGGACTTTGAACAGTAAATTTCGTCCCGTTTGGACTGGAGACCAGTGACAGAAGAAAGCCAGCTAAATGCTTGAGCCCGCGCAAGGAAGCAAATAAAATTATTAATGTTTTTTTCCTTTGCTTTCTTGTTTGGCCATATAATATACATCTTATTAACCGAGCTAGGTCGGTCTGTATAGGAGAATCTTGACCTCGGTCGCTAGTACAGACCTCACTGCGTTTGGTTACGGTGTACTATCACATTGTAGGAACCATTCCTTGATTCCCTAGCAAAGCCTTGGTTTCTTCCGCCTGGTCGTTAAAACGTGGTAGTTCAATAAAGCTGTTGAGGGAAAGATGAACGGAAATCAACAAATTAAAACCTTGAAAATCACCGTAAAGGTGTTTTTCTACTACCAGACATTCTTTACTAGTCAAGAGTGAGCCACGTAAGCACCATTTTACGATATATTATTATACATTTGTTGCTTTTCCTTCTTTTGGGTCATAACAAACTCCAAGCCGAGTAAAATATTGACAAAGCACAAGTTTTTCATTGACAAGTCTGATTCCTGTGCAAAATACAAACTCCATAAACATATATATCTTTAATTTAATGCCATCAATCTGTTTTGAGTCATGGTATTGCCTATCCGTTGTCACTTCTCGATTTTCCGTTTATCTTTCGTCAGTTTTAATAAGTCGTTTGTTCTTTAGATGTTCTTGTTGTTGTTGTCGCTGCTCCGGTAGCTGTTTTTATTTAGGTATTATGACCAGTTTGTAAGTGCTGAACTAACGGAATCATCAACCAACGCTTACCTGACCAATACAAAAGGAATGATAACCAGCCCGGCGCGGATTACGAACACTAAGCCCGGGAATGTCAGCCCCAGGGTCGCCTGGTATATATTGTTGAAAATTGCAGCGCCCACAAGCTGCATTATAGCGGTAACAACACCATAAACAGAAAACAGGGAACCTAAAGGATAGAAAATTCACAATGACGTCAGCACTTTCGAACCTCTATAACGATGAGACCTCTGTAAAACAGACACCTAGACCTGTTTCCTGTTGTTATTCAGTCATTTCCTTTGACGCTACATAAGGCGCATAACTCTCTAAGTCGGACACATAGTGGCATTCCCAGCGATGTCAGTTTTGAAGAGAGATTTGACTATTAGCACTTACAGCAGAGACCTTTAAGTCGAGGACGATATTTCTCAATACTTAATAGTCGCGGTTGAGAAAAGCGTCATTTTGGCATTCTACGAGTAGAATGTTTAACAGAAGTTTTAGCTCTTTGTGATTGGAAGAGAGCTTAAACTCCTACAATAAGAATAACTGTGCTAAACTTTCCGGTGATAAAAAAAAGTACAATAAAGCTTTCCGGGTCCCGGGTCCTCATAGTCGTCCTCGCCCTTAAATCTTAAGGTCCAGTATTGGGCGAACTTCTCCGTTTAAATGGGCAAACAAAGACAGTTACGTTTGGCAATGAACTTTTTTGGACGGAAATTGAGCAATTTGAAGTCGCGCATAGGATAAACAAGCTGGGATATTGGCCCAATTTGATTTGACTGCTAAGTTTCCTAAACGAGGCACGCGACTGAAAACAGTGTACGCCATGTACAGAAGTTAAGAGGTCAGAAGCTAAGAGCGTAGTAACTTAATGACATGTCTATCAGCAATGTCTGCAAAGAAACTAGTTAGTTAATTACCTTGTTCGTCCTCTCCCACAATCTTTGACATTTCACCCATTAGCACTGGGTCAGGAAGTGCATTAAAGATGCCAACGGTCCCAACTGGATTAGTGAAATAAATTAAATCAATTTTATTTCTTTGATTTTTCAGGAAGCTTTGTTTGACCTAGATCTACAGTCAAATAGCCCCAACCTACTTTTTAGTGTTAGTCGATATGTGATTACGTGAGTGCGCGCGGCGTTGCTCTGGCCTGGCCCGCTCACTTTATTCATCTGCTCAATTATTTCCCATAGGTAAGTTTAGATTAACTGTCTTGTTTTACACCGTAAACTTCCGGGTATAAGCCCTGGACTTATATAACTTCGTAACCGGACTAAAAAAAGTCTTTCAAAACAAGCTACATAGCAGTGCGGCTGTGCTGATCAAAAGAATTTTGAATTTGATTGCTTTTTAACCTTCAAAACCTCGTAAAAAGTCGCATTCATTTCAATACACGATGTTAGAGAAGAGCTTTTAACCGGATGTATTTTTTTGTTGTTTACTGGTAGATGGGCCGAAAAATGCGGAGGGGGGGGGGGGGGGGGGGCTTGGGGGTACGTACATGATCTTTTTATCATTTTACATTTTAATTGTTTTTTGTTTTATTTTTTTGCTCTAACTTTTTAACCCACTTTTAATTAAAATTATTTTTCGACTCTTTGAATTTTGTGTTTAAAGGTGTTTGTTTGGTGCGGTTCTTGTTGGGTTGTTTTTTTCTTTGTTTGTTTTGTTTTGAGTGTTGTTGTTGTGGGGGTTTTTTTTGGTGGTTTTTGTTTTTGGGGGGGGGGGGGGGGGGGGGGGGGGGGGGGGGGGGGGGGGGGGGGCGGGTCTTGTGGGTATGTACATGATCTTTTTATCATTTTACATTGTAATTCATTTTTGTCTTATTATATATCTCTAACTTTGTAACACAGCTTTAATGCAAATTAGTTATCGACTCTTTGAATTTTGTGTTGAAATAAAGTTCATTCAAGAGGAGGGCGTAATCTCGTTCCCAGACCTCTTAGTGTAAGACAGAGAGAAATCTGGGAACGTTAATAATAAAGATACCCCGGGACGGGCCGGGAGGGAAGTTGTTTGGATAAAAAAGACCTTTTAAAAAGATGTTAGATCCCGAATACGATTTTATTCGTCCTATTTACTTACCAACAAAAATCATCCAAGTACGATCTGAAAAAGCAAGTAGAACCGATGCACTCATAAACGTGACTATACCAATACGCACAACATTCATCTCTCTTAAACAACGTCTAAAGATCTCTACCCCGACTACGCTTCCGATACCTTCCACAAACATTTCAAACGCGGAGTAATAACCCACCAACGTGGGGCGCCAACAGAGAGGACTTCTTAGTACATAAAGCGTCTCTACGCCATCGCTACCCACTCTGGACAAGAATATGACACCTCCACAGAACATCAGCAGAAAGAGATTCTTTCTTCCAGCATCTCTTTGCAATCGGAACAAATTGACAAAACCCTTGATATTTTCAGTGCTGAAAAAGCTAGCTGACGTGTCTGTGACTGGCTTTGGAATTTCTGGCACGCAGAATAGTGTCCAGACCCCAGCGAGAAAATAGCAGGACCATATGAACCAGACGGATGGGATGAAACCTACATATTCCATCCAGAATCCGCTGGTCAATAAACTGATGACACCAGCTAAGAAAATTGCCAGATACAATATAGCTGTAAATAAGAGAAAAAAAATACAAAATTAATTTTCAAGAAGATTCTGCAAGTCTCTCGACAGCTGCTGTCAGACCCATTGTATAACGTTTAAATACGCAAAAAGTAGACATACTGTGATGGTGTGACAGTGGAGGATACGAATATTATAATCAAAATGAGATCGAGATTTAAAGGCCTTCATCACGTCAAATCATGGTTGACTAAAAATTCTATGAAATACTGTTTATTTCATCAAGTTTAGTCTCAGCTACTGACCTCGTTACAGTAGGCTTCTCACCTATTCGAAAAGCTCTTTCTTCTTTCTCAGAAATATCAGCTATGTACGCCGTGGCTCCAACCATCAAAACTGTGGCAAAACCAGAGAACCCACTGATTGTCGCGGATAAGAATAAGACATATACAGACCATTTGAAGTACATCACCAGTAATGTGACTATCATCTCTAAGCATGCGCCTAAGATAGCAAACTGCAGGGCGGGTTTTCGCTTGCCTCCCCTATCTGTCCAGGGTCCCCACAGGGGAGCCAAAAGAAGAGAGGGGATGACAAGACAAAGGTTGTAGATTAATCCGATTTCAGAGGCAAGACTTTGAACCTGAAAAAATAAAACATTAAAAACATTTAGCTAAGAACATCTTCTTAATTGGATTCAAATACATAATTGAGGATTACTCCTATGCATCAAGCCGTTTCTTGAACGGCACGCTTGGCCAGGCCGGTGAGAGAGCATCTGAGATTTGCCTGTTGGTAATGTACGAAATTATCTCTAAAATGTACGAAATATATCTCTAGATATCGTAACAAACCACACAAGCACGTGCGCGGCGTACATAGGACTGCAGCGGTAAAATGTCTAGAGTTTGTCTCATGTCTAATTCTATGAAACTGTGCCTATATCTAAAACGTTCGCCTCACCTCTTCTTCAAGACGCCATAGTGACGAGTTTCTGTTTAAATTTTCACCTCCACAACTTTCTTTTTCTCGACTGACATTTTTATACGGGAAGCCCTTCATTTCACTGACTCGTTCGTACACGTATATTCCACCAACTGGTATATACATTAGAAAGCCGTAGAAGTAGAAAAAGACTACAGGTTCCACCGTTAAGTACTTTCTCCATAGTGGAAGAGTGTTCCTTGATGGAATCTAAGAGAGTATAAAAGGATCCAAAACAATTGGCTTTCAGGGATGAGGACAACAAGAAAATCGTGGCTACTTAATTACTTCCAATATTTTGCATTATGATTGCTATTTGCTCCACTAAAAACTCCCACTGAATTGTTGAGAAAATTACCCACCTTTCCCCCGAGACGACACATTATGTGATCCCTCCCCCTCCCAATTTAATGCTGTTTGCGTCTCTTCAGGGTCACCCTGACAGTGGCCTTTCATTAACTAGCAATAAATAGCAGGAGAGTTGGGGAGAGGAAGAACAGGTTTTTAATTTCGTCTTTTTTAGAAAATGCAAAAGGAAAGACATTCTCAATTCAAACTGGGCCATTTTCCCCTGCAGTTTTCTCCAATATGGTACAGTAGACATAACAATATTTCAACGTAGGACGTTGTATTACTGACAATTTTCTTTGCCTCAACTGCCTACCTTAATGACAGGTTTTAGTAATGACGTTTGACTTTCATCAGAACACGTTTGGATGGGGTGTGGGCAACCAGAATCGGAATTGCAAAGCTGACTTGTTGTGCTTGTGTGACTCATTTTGATGAATCAGATCAGTCGTGCTGGCTCGTCACGCCTGGAGTTTTTTGGCTGAATAGCGGGTGTCTAACATAAGAGAGAGAGTGAGAGAGAGGTAAAAGTTGTTGTCCTCTTTATACAGTTTAGGTAACAAGTAGGCTCTAAAACAGTGGTCGTAGGTGTATCGTATTTTTCTTGCATTTTAATCGATTTCTGCCCTTATGGTGGATTAATCAATCTAAATGGTACCCAATCTAAATATCTGTAATAACAGTGACATACCATATGATAAAAGAGTACTTGCAATTACCTTTTGAGTCGAAACCCGGTTAAATTTTCTGAGGTAATTTACCTTTCTCTCGCTTTGACTGGAATGTTGTGAGATTTCTGTACCATTTTTCCACAATTACCAGTGCCTAGTCTGTTTCCGAGAAGGCAGTTGTGTCCAATATGGCGTGTTCAAGTTGATGTTGTTCAGGTGCTTCGTCACGCGTTCCTGCTCATGACTTTTGGGAGCAGATTGCGTGACGATGCCCAAAGAACGTCTGCAAAGTGCGACGAATCTTTATCGTTCCGAACCGTACATGACTGACTAGAACAGCTCGTCGCCACCGTTAAGATACTTTTTGCAACACTGACAACTGTAGCAGTTACGCTGGTGAGAAAGACTGTGACCAAGCAAAGTAAGCAAGGTTGACTGATTCCCAGTGAACTCGGAAATATAATGATACTATTTATTTATCAGTAATAATGTGAAGTTTGTGGAATCGTCCTAAACTTTCATTAAAAAATCGTCTTGAAAGAACGTGCTCAGCTCTTTCGCTTGTGATTCACATCTTTATAAACAACAATCGCAACAGTAACTAGTGAAACGGTATCAATACTTTGTCATAAAATGTTAAGCATTTATGCAAATTATGGTCGAAACTGTTGGACACAAACTCAACTGTAACCGGAAATTAGTCACCGGAAGTGCCTGTGCGAGATTGTAACACTAGGTCGAGGCTGATTGCACTACATTGCATCAGCCCACATCATGGTGAACGTTGTGGAAGAAATCTATCAGTGTTGGAACAAAAACTGAATTGTGTTTTGCGTAAAGTCTGTCTTATCCACCAAGAACTATGATGATGATGATGATGATGATGATTCAGTGTCAGGTCTTCTAGCTGGCCATATACGGCCTACTAATAGGGGACACTAAATTAAAATACTATCAGCTCTAACTAATTAATATAAAAAAAATATTTACAAAGAATAAAATTTACAAAAATATACATACTAAAAAAAATATCGATAAAACGTATTCGGATTTATCATATAAAATAATACTTATTGATTAAGAGGTGTCCTTTTTGTCTAGAAAGCAGTTTTTACAGCCCTCTGTGATTACTTTTTCAAGATCTACCTTACTACTTTTCTTTTTAAAGCTGTAAATTGATTCTGCGTTTTTTACATCCTTGCTTAATTTAGACCATATTGCTGGACTCACATATCTTAGGCTATGTCTCCCGTAAGTTGTTGTGTTGTATCGAGGAATAAAAAGTCACCAGAATTTCTGAGCCCATAGCGAGGTTTATCGAGCTTAAAAATGTCCTTTATGTTCGGAGGGCATATATTGTACTTTGCCTTATACACAATTATGGCTATATCCTGCAATCGGCGACAACCTAGTGTCGTGAGTTTAGCTTTTCTCAAGAGCTCATCGTATATGAACTTCTCGTATCGCAGTAGACGGCTGTTAACGCTCGCTCTTGTACTCGCTCCATCTTTCTGCTATCCGTCGCCCGACAGAAATGCCACACTGTATGACAGTATGTAATTTGAGGCATTATGAAAGAAATGAAAATCTTAAGTTTGGCTGATGTTGTTAACATGTTTCTAAGCCTCATCAAAACTCCAACCTTTCTAGATGCGTTTTTACATACCTCTCCAATATGCCTACTAAAATTCAAATGCTCGTCAATGGTCACTCCCAATAATTTCATTTCAGAGTGACTCTCAATATCATTGTTCATAACATCAATTTTCATCTGTTTATTTTTATGCTTCGACCCGAGACTCATCGACTGAAATTTTTCATGATTACACGAGCAGATTGTTCTTATACCAGTATGTGGCCACGCTAGCAACAGAAACTACTGTGGCAATAGTCAGTTCCTCGAAGGCGACAGTTAATAGGGTCGTTTGTACGTTTGCAACTGAAGTTTACAAAAATGACAGTGTACTATAGTCAATTTTTGAAGTACCGTTGACTACGAGAGAATATAAAATGAAAATACACACCTGACCGCATCTGATCTGACTTGCATCAATCTACATTTTCGCACATCTTTACGTACAGACTGGGTGTAGAGGATATTAGTTTTTAACTTCATAAATTCTTCATTTAATCAGTCACTGATAAATTGCGTGGGTTTGCGTCACATGAAGACCACGTTTTCGTTCAAAGGCGTGTGTTTGTATACAAAGAGATCTCGTGACTATTTATTATGCATGACTAGCCAGCTTCAGGCTTAAATTGCGTGGGTTTGGTCACATGAAGACCACGTTTTATTTATTACAGATATTTATTTATTTATTACAGATTCACTCCACTACATTACAAGCAAATAATGAAATGAAATAAGGTAACACTACAATAAAAATAAAAATAAAATAAAAAGTTGTGGAGAAGGAGACAACCAAAAGCGCCAATGTGCCATACTAGGGATGCCCTCACTAATTAAAATATAAGAAAAATATATGCAAATAGAAATATAAATGTTCTAGTAGTCCTTAAAAAAGCTTAAAACATTTTTTTAAAAAGTTGCAATACTGTTTGATTCTCTAATATGATTGGGTAAACCATTCCATTCATTTACAATACGGTTAAAAAAAAAACTATATTTAAAACCATCAGTTCCACTAAAATTTGGAACAAGGTCCTGTGTATCATTTTTCCTCAAGTTATAACCTGTATTTCTGTCCTTACAAAATATGAGCTTATTTGAAATGTCAATATCATAATGTCCATTAATTACATTAAAAAAATGTAACGTCTCTAGAGAACCTCCTATTAGATAATGACAACTATTTCCGCTTAGATAGTCTAGTATCATAATCATCATCAGACCTAGTGATCCATCTGGTAGCTCTTCGCTGAACAGCCTCCGATTTATCAATGTTACGTTTAATATGAGGGTTCCAAGTTTCGCATGAATATTCTAATAAAGGTCTCACAAGACTACAATAAAGTGTGTTCATGGTATCAAAAGCGCGTGTTTGTACACAAAGAGATCTCGTGACTATTTATTATGCATGGCTAGCCAGCTTCAGGCTCACAAGAAGGGACGACACGAAAACATCTGTGAGCCAATCTGCCAAATCACGCCTAACACTCCCGGCCTCCTCCTCAGTTAGATTGAAAACAACTACTAACAAAAGCACTTCGTTTCTAGCGGCCTTTACTTCAAAGGGAATGGTCCTTGGGAACGAAATTGCTAGTCAAAGCACAGTGCTGGGGTTTACAATACAATACAATGGACGTACAGCCCTGTTACAAGCGTCGTGCTACTGCCGTACCAAACTCAAGAATTCGACTTAAGCACGGCAGTAGCGCGACGATTGGTGCTACCGCTGTACCCCAAGCCGAACTCTATTCATACATTATAAATACACCAGAATACATTTAAAAGTTTGCTAAACTGTTTCCTTACTACTCTTTCGTGTCTTGATTTCGACAAAAGCCGACTTCTATTCGACTGAATTAAATTCGACATCTGAAACCAAGTCGTGCTACTGTCGTGCTGCAGTCGAGCTACAGTTGAGCCAGCTTCAAGCACGGCAGTAGCACGACGTTTAAAACAGGCCTTAGCGATATGGATTAGTCTCAGTAAAAGAAAACTTCACCAGTTTATTTTCAGGTATGCCACTGCAAATAAAATAAGTAGAATATGTGACTAAAATAAATGAGACACTGTACAAAAGCTATTTACAATCAAACTCAGCAATACTATCAAAAAGTATCACAAAGTCGATTAAAGGGACGATTCGTAGGTACTATAAACAATTATATATTGGATGAGGTTTTTGTGATATCCGGAATAATCAAGGTCGAGGTAAGTGTTATCAGCGGAAACCAAAGGCTGAGGCTGATAACACTAACCGAGACCTTGATTATTCCGGATATCACAAAAACCGAATCTAATAATTGTTTTATTATACTTTATCTTCAAGTAATTTCTCAATTTCTTGCTGGGTCGATGAAGCGAATCGAGAAGCCATTCTTACTTCGCTGTCCGCGAACTTGACATTGTTGTCCGTGCACTTGACATTACTCTTGGAAATCATGCATTGCGCGCGCAACCTACAGATTAGAGCGGTTTTCACTTGACTGTCGTAAAACCAAAACCAAAGTAAATACACTAGCCAACCAAAGGGCGTAGTAAAACCAAAACCAAAACCAAAACCAATCCCTTCGACAGTCAAGTGAAAACCGCTCTATTCACTAATCTGTAGGTACAGATTAGTGAATAATCTGTAGGTTGCGCTGTTTCCCAGAATTAACCGTAGGCTTTTAGCCAATGAGAAGACAGATGGTGACTACAATGTATAACAATAAAAATAATTAGAACTGTCCTTTCCTCTCAAGGTATATGTTGTTTCTCTTGATCAGATTAACTCATTCAAACACTCCGGGTTTGTTTCATGATTTACTGACGAGTTTATAAACCGAACAGAGGATTTTATGCAATCTTTGCTCCATCGGGGTTCTTCAGGACCTAAAAGCTTAAAGTTCTTCATATATAGTGTGTCTACTCTAAAAACAAACCGAACGGCGCTTTCATTTACTTTTTACCAGTTTTTTACCCTTATTGGGGAGCAAGGGATGGCGCAGTGGCGAGAGCTCTCGCCTCCCACCAATGTGGCCCGGGTTCGACTCCCGGCGTCGACGCCATATGTGGGTTGAGTTTGTTGTTGGTTCTCTCCCTTGCTCCGAGAGGTACTCCGTGTACTCCGGTTTTCCCCTCTCCTCAAAAACCAACACTTCCAAATTTCAATTCGATCTGGAACGCACGGACACGTTTAAACGAACGAGTTCATATGAATTCCTAGTTGCTTCGAGAGTAAAAAAGCAATTTAATTTTTTTTGGCAGAAATGCCAGGTGCCATCACCATGCATAGTCTGGTATTTAGAGTGCAGATTTCTCAGTGTCATGCCACTCTCCAAAAACCATTTATCTACTAGGTATGTCAAGTCAGAGTCTACGGTTTCTCGGACCATCAAAGGATCCTTATCGACAAAGAATATCTGTCTCCTGCGTAAGTCGATAGGTTGCTTGGTTTTATAACGTAAACGAGATCTTTCATTGCTGCGGAGCGACCGTAGGGAGCGAGCAGCAACATAATCATGATTTAAGGGAAATATATTAGGGGCGACGAATTCTCGAATTCATCACTTTTTACCACAATTCATTGCATTTAACCACACTTTTTACCACAATGCATTGCATTTAACCAGAGTGCATTGCGCCACGAACAAGTCAAATGAAAACACAGGGAAGTTCGCATCGTTCGCTACCCAGACTCAGAGTTTTCTTTTTAGCAAATTTTCTACAGCACGGTTAGAGGTCTTACCAAATTTAAGACACGTAGGAGTCTTTCAGATAAGTACGATGGTTAACTCGGGGATTGGATTTCAATTCAAGAGCCTTTGACTCGTCCAGGTGTTAAACCTGACGAGAAGATGAGTATTTGCTCTTCGACTCCGCAACACGGGGGATATACAAATTCCAGCTTGCTAGAAGGTGATGTAAAAGTGAGAAAATGTCATGCCATGCTATTCTTAAGAAACTGTATGAGCCGGAAATGGATGTGATTTTGACCATTCGCTTCAAAATAACAGCGGAAATCGAGATAACAAAACATATGTTTTGTGGGCTACGTTGCAGACGAGGACGTGTATCGGCGTTTTGAAAAGCATAATTATGTTCTTTCATTCATTCATTGCCATGGAATATGTGTTAACATTGTTTTTTTGCTGTTAATAGCTGGATTAATGCAGCTGGCGATCATCTTGCCGGCGGAAGTTTCATGGAAAAGGAATTAAATTAAAGACTTTTCCCAAAACTACGTAATCCGTCTCTGTGGTGTAGTGGCGAGGTGTAGTCGCGTCGAGCCGATGGTGCCCGGTCAAGTCCTACCGAACTCTTTTTTCCTTCTTTCTTTTTTTTTTCCTGTTTTTTGTGTTGTAATTTTCTATAAATATATAGCTAAATAACTGTTACTTAATAAAGTGCAATAAACAGCAAGAAAAGTATCATGTTTCCAGAGAAAAGATAGTACACCCTATATTAAATATATGGATAAACAATCTGAATTTCTATCATTTCCAACAATTTACTGTGGGAAAACCAGAGTTGATAACCACTTGATCATTTTTTAAACAACGTTCCCACGAGTTCTTTATATAGACTGATAGTAATTATTCTAGTACTTTCCAACATGTAAATAGGACATTCAATGTCATTTTCGATTCTTTTAAGTCCCACTGCCTAACTAATGCCAGTATCAACAGAATGTGCCGCAGCATTACTATCTTTTAGATACCCTAGTAAATATGTTTAAATAGAACAGGGCCAGGTATGGATCCTTGGGGAATTCCAGCCGTTAAATCCTGTCCTGTCAAATGCGGAACGTTCCCAAGTTTTACCTGTTGCCTTCGATTGGAAAGATAGCCTCCCGAGGATTTTTTTAGGAGGGGGTGCACTTGTCTCTTCCTCTACTTCAACACCAATAAACCACTTAGTTTTTTTTGTTTTTTTTTAGCAGAATACCAGTTGTATTAGAAAACCGCAGGTCATCTCGGGGGGGGGGGTGCGCACCCCCTGCACCCTCCCCCTAGATCCGCCCCAGCACGTTCACAAACACTAAGTCTTCATTTTAACGCCAGACGTTTGTAGTTGCGTCCGACAAAACGTTTTATGCAATTCCTGGGTACCGTATCACGGCCGTTAGAGGCCAGAATATTGGCTCTGAAGCTCAGGGTTATGTCCCTGTTAGTATTTTAAGGGAGATTACAGTTGAATTTTGGGGGAATTGGGGTTCAACTGAGAATGAAAGAATTCAAAGAAGGATAGAAAAGGGTATACACGCAAGTCGGTTAGTCCGCTCTGAATTGGCTCAGGGCCATCTTGTTGTGGTGGCGGACTGTCTGGTCTTTTATCTATCAATTATTCACTTCAAATTTTAATTTTTACCTACCCTAATCCAATATTTTCTCATTTTTCCATAAATTTTAACATTTGCCCTTCAAACTTTTACTGACTACAAATATCACCAAAAAATTCACCAAAAAATTCTCAAAAACTCATCGTTCCAAGAACTTCAGAATGAGTGTTTATTTTTAAAATCGAATGACATTTTGACAAGATTATCAAGGAAAAGTACTCAAGTATAATACAAACAAGGCGTTTAACTGTAATCCGCCCTAAATACTGTTTATGAGCTTTTCTTCCTCGCTGTCGCAGTTTCAGCCCTTCTTTGTGCCATTTGTCGCCATTTAAGCTGTCTTGAGTCGCTGTTTCAAGGCCATGTCGCTCAGTGTCGGGATTTTACCCTTGTGGATAGTACTATATAATATATACACACCCACATCGTGATTGGACTATCTTTTTTCCTACTTAATATCCCCTTTATTTCGAGTGTATTTACAAAGAAAAACAGATTCAAATGCTTCGGGAGCCCATAGGACTTGTACTATACAATCACATTCTGAAGTGAATTTAATTTTTGTTGTTGTTGTTGTTTTTGAAAGAGTTGACTTGGTGTTTCAGCTACCTTAAAAGCTTAAATAATAGAATTAATTTTTCTTCTAAACTGACTTACAAAAGATTTATGGATTCAAAAATGATTTGCATTGTTAGTTCTGATCGGTAAGCAAAGAACGGATAAACCACCCCATTATTAATCCCGTTAGTGAGTCCATTGTAAAGCTTTGGGAAAAAAGCGAATCAGGTTTTCCCAATTAATGTTTTAACTATTTGCTGTCTTCTGCACAAGCTCTATGTGTTCTGGGTTCTCGGCTGTTTTGTCTAATTGGTTCTCGTTAACGTCGTTATTAATCTTCGTTTTAGTTAATGAGGTGTCGTCTTCTTTATTGCCATTTGGTTCTTCGCTCTTCAATCAAGGCTCCTCATCTACCATTTCTATCTGTTGTACTTCAATTTCTGGCGGTGAAATGTGCATGCAGCTACAAAACAGGAAATGTAGAAACAAAAGCACTTAGGTCATGACATTCTCAGTGTTCTTGCCCGGTAAACACGAATGATTATTATGTTATTAGAAAGAATGAAATTAAGTTTCTGAGCCAGTGATGCACTTTCAAAATAACACCAAAAACTCCCATAGCTGCTATTCTTTAAACGAAAGGATTGACAGGGTGGAAAAACCTATCTGCCCCAAACTCCTTCTTCACTGGATTTAACAAGGTACTGAATTCCTGAAACTTCATTAAAGGAAATAACTTTTCCAGTATTTTGAAGAAGAAGATGAACCAAAACGCATGGTAACTCGTTTCCAAATCTTAGCACGAAAATAATCATGGCTTTTAAATTGAAGAAGGGTTAATATTAATTATCCAAAAAAACTCAAAATATTAAACTCCATGTATTGTAAATTTAGCCAAGAAGTTCAAGATTGAAGGACAATTGAGCAACAGATTAAAGTGTGATGAGAAAACGGCCGATGGAAAACAAGAAACAAAATAAAATTAAAAGTCACTTGACTTTGGTAAAGAGCTTTCAAACAGTACTATTAAACAAAGCAAAGACAAGCCAAGTTTCAAATGATCCCGCATGTACTGGAGAGGCTGCAATACTCCAGACATTTATTGAAACACTTAACGTCACATTACGCCCTCCCCAATGTTGATTCACAACTAGTCACGTATCACCCATGGTTTGCAAATAATCGCCAATCTCAACATTGGGGAAGGAGAGAAGAAGTACCCACGGGGAAAAGCTGGATAAGTTGGTTGAAAAGGCGTGACATGAAAAAACCTCACTTTCAGTCTAGTGTTTCAACGAAATTTGAAGAGTATTTTAGCTATTACAGTAAAGAGCCATAATGGAAGTTGCTATCATAGAACAGGTTGACAGATGTTATTTCATTCACCGCGCCGATCAGACTTCATGGTCTTCAATCAGACGAAACAATTACAACGACCTTGATTTTCATTACCTGATGATTACAAGTGGAAAAGTTTTCAAACCAGCGTTTAACAGAAATACCAAGCCATTGAAGCCGATGCCCAGCGTCGATTCGTATACATTGTTAAAAATCATTGCACCAATAAAATTTGAAAAGACATTCAGAATCCCGTAGACACAAAACAAGGAACCTGAATAAAAAAAAGAAACCAAATTATTCGTTTGCACAATATTAACCAAACAGAAAAATGGCAGCACAAAGCCCCACCAGCACACAATCTCTTTGGTATGGACAGTATTTCACGCATGCGCACGGTCATGACCGCTGTTTCGTCCTTGTATAGCTCCAGACGAAGGTGTGAATGTAAAAAGCCTTCTAGAGACACATTAGATATATGATCCTTTCAAGGTTGATGACAGATAAGGCCACAGTTAAATGACCTATTATGCAAATTAGCGCGTTGCTAAGGCAAACACACTGTTCACGACGCCATATTGAAAGCACGTCACGAAATGAGTTCAAACGAAGATTTTCGCATTTTCTTGCCACGTGCCGTGCTACAATCGAGTCAGTGTCACAACAAACATTAAAACAGTGGTTTACTCGTGAGAATTCAAGATGACGACGAAGAAAACAGCGCAGCGCGACGAAAATTAAGGGCGGTTTTGCGACTGCGTTGGACCGCACTGAAAACTAAATGATCTAAAAAGATGAGGATTTAAAATACCGCGCTGAAACTTGCCAGGTTTTTTCACATCATATTAAGGAAAAACGTCTTAAGTTCCCGGCAATGAGGGAACATTTTGGAATTTTTGGCTGCGGCCTGAAATATAAGTCAGTTCCAATTTTATTTGTATTCCTAATTATCGAGGGAAAGCCAGAAATATGCAATTCCTGATTTTTTTGAACCTGTGATATAAATCAGAAATCACAACTTAGGTGTGACAATAATAGACACCTCGGATAGACCTGTGTAATTTTTATTTTGCAAAATTCTTTATTTTGTGAGAAATAAATTTTTCAAATGGAATAGTTTATAGCAGAACTAATACTAGTTAATTTCCCAATTTTTTTAAAAGTTCACTAAAAAGGTTGTAAATGTTTGAAAACTGAAACTAGTGTTATGGTCGGAGCCATTTTAAAAGCATAAGATTACTCGGGCGCAAAGCTTTTTCAACTAAACGAAGCTCAATATTACTTCAACAAAAGAGAAAAGATAGCTACGTTAACTAATTATTTAATACATCCTTGCCCACTTTTCTTATTACTGGTAAATGAAATCTTAGCAAATATAAGAAGACAATGCCTTGGACGTTTGACCGCGGTGGGCAGATAAAACGTTTATCGGGACTGACGAAACAAGTGCAAAAAATTGGTAACCAGTGAGTGTTTCATTTCTTGTATATCAGTTTTAATGATAGCCCCCAACTTAACCCTTGTCCACATCCTTCCTCCCGCTATAGAACATTTTCCCTCACGCGGCCAATTGCAACATCTATGCAAATTTATTGGAACAAAAGAAAGCGTTTGCATAAGAGAAGAATTCAACTCCCACAGGATTATTGGTAAATCTTGGAACACTAAAATGGCCGTCGTTTCTTTGTTTTGGAACACCAATATGGCCGCCATGACGTCATGTGAAAATGCTCTGTAGTTTGATGGATCCGTTCCCCACTATTCATCCATTGAACACATTACGTCGCCATGCAACAAAATAATCTATTACAACCTTCCATACTTGTTTAGCAACTCTGTGTTTCCCAATTTTTACATCAAAACTTAACACTGTAGCTTTAAATCTCACGTGCTATTGCGATCTTACAGGCACATACCCTGTTCATCAGCTTCGACTGTGTTCGATGCAATGGCGATCAAAATTGGACCGACAGCTCCACTGAAAAATCCCAACGCAGGTGCTACAGAGTAAGAAAAAAAATTACAAAATTTAGAAATGAATTCATGACTGCCACTACCGGGCATAAATTTGAGGCTTGGGTGGACAAAATACAGTGATTTGTATCAAGTTGTCCAATACGGGAGTATGGGAAAGATCTATTCAACTTTAGCCATTACGTTGCGCTCACCAGTAAACTTGGTTTTACATAGGTTGCATATATACAGACGGCTTCCGCTATTCCTTTGCTTTAGGAGATACTGCATACAAGTTTATTTGAATCCACTCGCACCAAAAAAAAATTCACGACAGATCACATACAAAACCCTGCCTACATACCAGTGAAAACCAACCATGTGCGGTCTGCAAATGCCAGGATTCCCATTTCAACCATCTGATTAATAATCGCGATAAGAGAAGTTGTTTTCTCGCTGAAACAAATTCGGAACAACTTTACTCCCACCGCTCCTCCAAATCCCTCAAGGAACATCCTGTACGCCAGGAAGTAACCCACAAGCGTTGGACCAAAACACAGCGGACTCCTCATCACGAAAAGAGCCGGAATAACTCCAAGTCCCTGATCCGTTACGGTTAGAATGGCTCCTGCAAACGCCACCAGCAGCAGAGTTTTTCGGGCACTCCCTGGGCGTGGCTTCTTGAAGACCTTTACAGGAATCTTTAAATTTTTAAGATCAAAAAACTTGTGTTTGACATTCGCGCGGGTTTGATTATGGAGTTCTGGCACCATGAATACGGCCCAGAGAAGACGAAACAATTACAACGACCTTGATTTTCATTACCTGATGATTACAAGTGGAAAAGTTTTCAAACCAGCGTTTAACAGAAATACCAAGCCATTGAAGCCGATGCCCAGCGTCGATTCGTATACATTGTTAAAAATCATTGCACCAATAAAATTTGAAAAGACATTCAGAATCCCGTAGACACAAAACAAGGAACCTGAATAAAAAAAAGAAACCAAATTATTCGTTTGCACAATATTAACCAAACAGAAAAATGGCAGCACAAAGCCCCACCAGCACACAATCTCTTTGGTATGGACAGTATTTCACGCATGCGCACGGTCATGACCGCTGTTTCGTCCTTGTATAGCTCCAGACGAAGGTGTGAATGTAAAAAGCCTTCTAGAGACACATTAGATATATGATCCTTTCAAGGTTGATGACAGATAAGGCCACAGTTAAATGACCTATTATGCAAATTAGCGCGTTGCTAAGGCAAACACACTGTTCACGACGCCATATTGAAAGCACGTCACGAAATGAGTTCAAACGAAGATTTTCGCATTTTCTTGCCACGTGCCGTGCTACAATCGAGTCAGTGTCACAACAAACATTAAAACAGTGGTTTACTCGTGAGAATTCAAGATGACGACGAAGAAAACAGCGCAGCGCGACGAAAATTAAGGGCGGTTTTGCGACTGCGTTGGACCGCACTGAAAACTAAATGATCTAAAAAGATGAGGATTTAAAATACCGCGCTGAAACTTGCCAGGTTTTTTCACATCATGTTAAGGAAAAACGTCTTAAGTTCCCGGCAATGAGGGAACATTTTGGAATTTTTGGCTGCGGCCTGAAATATAAGTCAGTTCCAATTTTATTTGTATTCCTAATTATCGAGGGAAAGCCAGAAATATGCAATTCCTGATTTTTTTGAACCTGTGATATAAATCAGAAATCACAACTTAGGTGTGACAATAATAGACACCTCGGATAGACCTGTGTAATTTTTATTTTGCAAAATTCTTTATTTTGTGAGAAATAAATTTTTCAAATGGAATAGTTTATAGCAGAACTAATACTAGTTAATTTCCCAATTTTTTTAAAAGTTCACTAAAAAGGTTGTAAATGTTTGAAAACTGAAACTAGTGTTATGGTCGGAGCCATTTTAAAAGCATAAGATTACTCGGGCGCAAAGCTTTTTCAACTAAACGAAGCTCAATATTACTTCAACAAAAGAGAAAAGATAGCTACGTTAACTAATTATTTAATACATCCTTGCCCACTTTTCTTATTACTGGTAAATGAAATCTTAGCAAATATAAGAAGACAATGCCTTGGACGTTTGACCGCGGTGGGCAGATAAAACTTTTATCGGGACTGACAAAACAAGTGCAAAAAAATGGTAACCAGTGAGTGTTTCATTTCTTGTATATCAGTTTTAATGATAGCCCCCAACTTAACTCTTGTCCACATCCTTCCTCCCGCTATAGAACATTTTCCCTCACGCGGCCAATTGCAACATCTATGCAAATTTATTGGAACAAAAGAAAGCGTTTGCATAAGAGAAGAATTCAACTCCCACAGGATTATTGGTAAATCTTGGAACACTAACATGGCCGTCGTTTCTTTGTTTTGGAACACCAATATGGCCGCCATGACGTCATGTGAAAACGCTCTGTAGTTTGATGGATCCGTTCCCCACCATTCATCCATTGAACACATTACGTTGCCATGCAACAAAATAATCTATTACAACCTTCCATACTTGTTTAGCAACTCTGTGTCTCCCAATTTTTACATCAAAACTTAGCACTGTAGTTTTAAATCTCACGTGCTATTGCGATCTTACAGGCACATACCCTGTTCATCAGCTTCGACTGTCTTTGATGCAATTGCGGTCAAAATTGGACCGACAGCTCCACTGAGAAAACCCAACGCGGGTACTACAGAGTAAGACGAAAAATTGCAAAATTTAGAAATGAATTCATGACTGCCACTACCTGACACAAATTAGAGGCTTGGGTGGACAAAATACAGTGATTTGTATCAAGTTGTCCTCACCAGTAAACTTGGTTTTACATAGGTTGCATATATACAGACTTCCGCTATTTCCTTTGCTTTAGGAGATGCTGCATACAAGTTTATTTGAATCCACTCACATCAAAAAATTTCACGACAGATGAAAACAAAACCCTGCCTACATACCAGTGAAAACCAACCATGTGCGGTCTGCAAACGCCAGGATTCCCATTTCAACCATCTGATTAATAATCGCGATAAGAGAAGTTGTTTTCTCGCTGAAACACATTCGGAACAACTTTACTCCCACTGCTCCTCCAAATCCCTGAAGGAACATCCTGTACGCCAGGAAGTAACCTACAAGCGTTGGACCAAAACACAGCGGACTTCTCATCACGAAAAGAGCTGGAACACCTCCAAGTCCCTGAACAGTTACGGTTAGAATAGCTCCCGCAACCGCCACCAGCAGCAGAGTTTTTCGTGCACCCCGTGGGCGTGGCTTCTTGAAGACGTTTACAAGAATCTTCAAATTTTTGAGATCAAAAAACTTGTGTTTGACATTCGCGGTTTGATTATGGAGTTCTGGCACCATGAATATGGCCCAGAGGCCGCTCGCCAATAGACAGGCAAGGACGAGCCATGTTGGGGCAATAAACCCTAACCTATCAATCCACAAACCACTAGTCAACTGACTGATGACTCCACCAGTGAAAACAAGCATCTGCATGATGGCTGGAAGTAAAACGAAACAGTTAGTATTCTCTCTATACTTCTTTCTACACATGAAGTACGCCTATACAGGCCAGAAACATCCCTTCTTCTGGGTCCTTGCTCCCGGTCTTCCTTTGTTTACTGTCTCTTTCAAGCGCTATCCTGCGAATACAGCCGCCTTTCACTGTCGTAGCGGTGAACAACACCCAACGACTGTTTTTCTCGCCCCATGTAAGGGAATCCAAGACAGTCTTGGATTCTGGATTCCATGCTATGGATTCTCGGTTCCAAGGTACTGGATTCCAGATTCAGTGGGACTTGGATACCAGATTCTTTCGTCAGTGGGATTCCGGATTCCTTGAGCTGTTTTCCGGGTTCCAAAGCCCAGGATTCTCGTATCCACTATCAAGAATTTCTCCGATTCCGGGCTCCAGATTTCCTTACAAGGGGCGAGTTTTCGCAGGCTATTCGCCGTGCCTGCGATACCAACATCATGGTAACAGGCAAGAATGTAGCCTGCGAAAACATCCGTTTCTCCTCGCTCTTCTCCGCTGGGGACTTTTCGCGCGGAGGAACAAGTTCCTCCGTGCGAAACGTCCCCAGCGGCGAAGAGCTAGGAGAAACGGATTTTTTTGCAGGTTAGCAAGAATGAGAATAGTCAAAAAGGTTATCGTGATCCCCTCTCTATGATATCAGCTATGTTTGTTGGTGTGGTAATGCACTTATATATCTTAGGTCTCACCTAATCTGAAGGCTATTCCTGTCTTCTCAGTTGTCTTGGCGATATACGACATGACGGCTAACGAGAGAGTCGTCAAAAATCCCGAACTTCCGATCAGAGCTGAGCCCACAAACATCACATACAAAGGCAAATCGAGGTACATTACCATAAGCATCACTATAGTTCCCAAAACACCTCCAATTTCAGGTGCTATGAGGGCAGGTTTTGTCCGACCTGTCTTATCAGTCCAAGGACCCCAAAATGGTGCAACGATTAGTGACGGAATAGTCATAAAAAAGGTGTTCCCTAAGTCTATTTTTGTGGCTAGACTTTGCACCTGCGTAATGACAAAAAGATAACAAGAATGTCANTCACCTAATCTGAACGCGATTCCTGTCTTCTCAGTTGTGTTGGCGATATACGACATGACGGCTAACGAGAGAGTCGTCAAAAATCCCGAACTTCCGATCACAGCTGAGCCCACAAACATCACATACAAAGGTAAATCGAGGTACATTACCATAAGCATCACCATAGTTCCCAAAACACCTCCAATCTCAGGTGCTATGAGGGCAGGTTTAGTCCGACCTGTCTTATCAGTCCAAGGACCCCAAAATGGTGCAACGATTAGCGACGGAATAGTCATGAAAAAGGTGTTCCCTAAGTCTATTTTCGTGGCTAGACTTTGCACCTGCGTAATGAGAAAAAGATAAACATAGGCACGTTTAACGTGCATGAGCTATTTTGAATGCTTCAGTGTAACCGTATTTAAATAACAATCTACAACTTTTTTAGTCCTAAATTAAGATTATTTTTGTACGAAATTGGGGATTGCTGTACATTAATGAAAACGCGAACCGCTGCGCACAGCTGAGCCGAGTCGATCCTCATATTACAGATTCACTTTTCTCTGTCTTTTCTTCTGACATCTGTTGCAAATTAAGTAAATTGTTAATTAAAAGTACTATAAATATTAACTCACCAGACGTTGCTTAGAGGGAAGACTCGAAGGTTTCAAGGTTTCTTCATGGTTTCTTAAGATAATGAAGCTCGTCGAATACCGAATAGCTAAGAAATGTCACGATTTTCATCATCATTATTCACGAGTTTGTCACGTGTGATTGTACTTGATGAAACAGTCTTTAATTAACTCTGACGACTTGATTCTAAAAGTGTTATAGGTTATTGCTTCTTAAGAAAACAGCCTTTACTTAAGGCACTAGTAACTAAACTGAAAAGGTCTTCATACATTCAAGTTACAATTATTACAATGAAAAGCCAGTCTGCATGAGATATACAGTCACACAGTTTGCACGTGAAAGTGTTGGACTTTGTCCCTTTTGTGGTTTGTAGGTCAGGCCGGGAATTCGAGTTATCACACAGTAATCCAGTAAGCAGGATAATAAAAATAACTCACGCACACAATTTGCTCGTGAATATGTTGGACTTTGTCCCTTTTACAATTCCTAAATAAAAGAACGCAAATTGTTTGTGTAGGTAATATCATGATTTGTAGTCATATTTGGCATAAGTGCCACGAGTGATATTTCGAAATTGTCAGACGTAATTTCATGAGCCGACAGAGGCGAGTAAAAGGTGAGACAATTTCGAAATATCACGAGTGGTATTTATGCCAAATATCACGTACAAATCACGCTATTATTTGTTTATACTACTACCCGCAAGAGGTTTGTAATTTTCACATGTAGGTATTTCAAATTAAGCTGAAATACCACTGCTCTAAACCAATCAAATTGCAGAAATTTCTCGTGTAGTAGTATAAATAAGAAAATTTGCTCAAACGATTTTAAGTAATCACCTAGGCTTTACAACATCTGCAATTAAATTATACTTCATACAAAGTTAAAGGTGGATAGCTTAACATTTATTTCCTTACAAGAAAATTATCAAACTGCCGAAATATATTTGTACTCACATCATGTTATTCCACTCAATAAAACAATGTCTAATTATTTTGTCAACTAGCTTCTTCTAATTTTATTCCCTAATGCTACTGTCTCTACTTAAGTTACGCATCTTCACTAAATAAAATACGTTTCAATAACTATAATGACTCTTATCAGCAGCAAGCATGTATTATGTTGTTCACCTAATTCGCGTCTTTTTTCTTTTTTTTTTTGTCTTTTTTGCCCGAACGAAAAAGGTCTGTTGAACTTTGTAAGCGAGAGAATAAAGCTTGTTTACAAGATTAACCCAGTACTCTGTACAGCTTTCAAAAAACATATGCTGCCTTTTAAATTGTCAAATACCACAATTTATAGGCCGCATACTCCCGAATTAATCGGTCCCTATCTAAATTTCAACTACTGTTTCATTGGAAGAACTTTGAAAAATACATGAACTTATGTACTCTACCTTGAAGCAGGTGAAACATAACTCATAATTATTAAATACGTGCGATGTACCCTTCGTGATAGCCGAATTAGGTCAAAAATGCTTTGAAGCAGCACCAACACTAAAATACTAATTGTAGCTTTCGCTAAGTGCCAACGAAAGAAAAAGAATTTGCCTACATCACCGGTTTTAGTTCCAATCTTTATAAAACCATTTGAGCTGCTGAGGAGAGAATTTCCACTACAAGCACTCCTCGTTTATACATTTCTGCCATGCTCTTGGCCTTAAAATCGCTCTTATTCTTCTTCTTAGGCATTTTGAACCTTAAACTTGTCGAGTTTCAAACAGCGAAAAGGAAATAACATTTATAGGTTAGCGCGAACTTGAAATAGCGAGTTGTACTTCCCACAAGTACAGTAGAGTGGCAGAGAACAATGTCCGAACTTGGAAAGTTTGTTTACAACAAAGGCCATCAAAAAGTCAGGTGAAACTACACATGAAATCTAACGCTACTAAAATCTCCAGGGAATCTACACCTTGCATTACACTTTGCCTAGTCCCTGTACGGCGTCTTTCCAGGCCCTCTCGGTAAATGCATTTCGGTGAGGTATCCGAGACGAACGGCCGGGAGACGCCTAGACAATCTCGGAGTGCGCATGCGTGAGCATTTTTGCATTTTTGAAAAGTTCACACGTTCAACTGAAATAATCTATAAATAACTTTGCGCGTGAATATCCTTCGCTTAAAGATCGGCACTATTGACACTATTACAAAAATAACTAACCTGGTTTCTATTATTAAAGAACAAAAATATTACTTTGAATCGGAAAGAATACTACTGTATAACGTGCAAGTAATTTCGCTTTTAGTTCATTTTTAAATGAACCATTAAAATGTTTTTTCTTTATTGATAAAAAATATTTGAAACAGTGGCATGTTGACATTCTACCAAATTCAGAGACCAAATTCAACAGCCGGTCCGATTAGTTTGATAAGCTTCCAAATCCAGAAATTAAATTACATAAAATATATTTCGAAGTGAAATGATAACGAGAAATTTATAGGAGCAAGCTAAAATAGAGAAATGAAAGGTAGCTTTTCATGTCCAAGAATATATATAAACTTATTTCTTTAGCTTACCTTCCGATTCTTAATGAAATAATTTTTTGCGACGCTGTTTTGCTTAGCCTACAAATAGTTTTTGAGATGAAATAAAGTTCAAATTAGTTTAATGAGATAAATGGAAAAGGAACGCCAAAGGACTTTGAACAATGAAAATGTGCATATGATAAAAATGCTCGGTTTGCCTCTTTATCCTCTGTACTCTCCATGGCTGCTGGACATCTTTCATCAGCGCGGAAAAGTTATTGACAGCTCACCCGCTTCCAAAAGCTCCGCCCCAAGTGAGACAAAATGTCCCACTTCTCCAAGTTTGTCTAGGCCTCAAAAACTTTCTCGGACCACGTGACCCAAAACTCATTGGCCGCGCATAATAATGAGGCCTAGGGATTAGGGAACATTACACTTACATTATACTTTTCACAGCACGATCGAGAATTTTTCTGCCTGCTGCAATACTTCGCGTGAGGTCATCAAAAGTCACGTGAAACTACACGTGAAATCTAACGCTACTAAAATCTCCAGGGAATCTACACCTTACATTACACTTACGTACATTACACTTTTCACAGCACGATCGAGAATTTTTCTGCCTGCTGCAATACTTCGCGTGGCATTAAGCTGGCCGTCTCGCAAGCCGACCGTCTTCGCTCGGCTTACTTGTTGGCAATGTACTTTAAAAATCACTGTAAAAAGCGTTTGAATCACGAAGATATTTCAATGTTATGCTTCTAAAGACCTTAGCCATAATAAAGGACGAAAAGATTGTGAAGAATCAAGATGGCGGTCGCAAAGTGCCCTGTTTGACTTTAAGCAATGTCATGTTTGGATGCCAAAATCTCATTGGTTCCTAAGAATCAACCCATAGTACATTCAACCTTCTTGGCTCCTGCAACAGAAATCTGAACACACAAACCCACAAAGCCACAGAGATACATACGCTCACACCACTGACATATGAGCTATTTCTTCAAAATAGCTCAACAAGAATGTCAAAGGTTAGGTTAAGTTTCTCAAATAAATAAAGCAAAATAAAAATTTGCATTGGGTCCTTTAGTTGGTATTATCCACTTGGTATCATCTCTGTGCGGTGATGAACTCAGAACTTCCGGGAAGCAGCCTCCCAGTTAGTGGTCGGAGTACGACTTGAACTTTCTTAAGTAGTTTCAATTTCAAATAAAAGCACTAAGGTTATTGGTGGAAAATTATTTTGTCAAATTAGAGATTAGGGATGTGTCGTGATCAAGGACGGAGAAGGAGGAAGCCCCTGAGACCCTTATGTGCCGCCCTCAGATTGCCAAGTAAACTCAAAAAATTTAATCCGTCTTACTTCTTCCTCTAGTCGTTTTAAAGTGGCGTTTTCTCCAAAGACGTCTTCATGACACCCTGGACCTTCTTTTTCCATTATTAGCTCCTTATATGGAAACCCTTTCCTGTCACTGATGACACTGTACACATATTGCCGAAACAAAGGCATGCTTGTGAAGAGGCCGTATGCATAAAATAGTATGACAGGCTCCACTGTTAGGAAGCTTCTCCAGCTTGGAAGTTTTTGTTGAGGCATCTGGGCATAAAGGTGAAAGAAGATATAAGATCTTGCATGCTATGCAAAGTATGTTTTCTTGCTAGGAAAGATAAACAACGTGATCGTGGTGAGCCTAGTCCCTTCGGGCCTTTTTACTGACCGAAATGACGCATTTTCCTACCCTTTCATATGTACTTCAGCTAGTGAAATCTATACTCTTTTGTATACCTGAAGCCTAAAAAAGGTACCCCTTTCGCGCGGAGCCTCCACACTAGGTAATTATGTGGAGTGCCCCACTGGATAAAAAGCGCCATCAGGAGCCCATTCCTGGCGCCATATATGACCTCCGTAATGAACACTCTTATATTATGCACACGCTAGCCTGTGTACAGACGTCCCTTCTACGATAGTTCAAAAAATTGAATGAGTTCATTTTCATCCGGTCGGTTCGCAATGTATAAACAAACTATCAAAAAAAACGTTTTCTTCGCTTTTTACTCTGTCCATGTCTAACCAGTTTGGTTTAGTTTAGACAATTTAACTCTGTGCGCCGCTCTAACTACAGCTCAATGGTATAGCACGCGATTACAGTCGAGGCAGGTCAAGCGTACCCCAAAATGAATCCGTAAACTACCAACGGATTCAACTTTCGAATAATAAATTCATTAATGTAATCTTGGGGGGTACGCTTGACTTGGGTTTAGATAAGTCGGGAAGACTTATCTAGGAAGATCGACGGAGACTCTGCTCGCAGGGTAAACTTGGGTTGAAGCTTTCCTCCTACGAACGGGACGATTTTTTTTATTGTTTTCCTCAAATATAGAGACAAGCTGTCCACAAAACAAAAAAAGGTCAGATAAACCGTGTGGCAGGAAATTTTTGCGGGTTCTAATTTTTATGATTTTTGCGATTTATCCAGCGATCCGCAAAAATAATTTCCCTCAAAAAAAATTAACGAAAATATTTTTCCCGCAAAAATTTACTCCAGAGTATTAAATATACTTTGACTAAAATTTACTACACAAAAATACAGCACCAAGAAATCGTGTCTGTTCAATTACAACTCGCCTCTTCAATTCAGAAACAAAACGGTATACGATGAATTGGTTTTTCATAATGTACGCATATCGTAGTACTGTTTGAAAATCTGTATTTCTATTACACCCTGATTGCAAGTACTTGCCAAGAACGAAATCCTGGGTACTGGGTACTTTTCGAAAATTAATTCTTATAGCGCTCACACACTACACGAAATTGTGACTCTTGAATCTATAAGCTTTAGTTTCTAATCCGATCTGTCAGCAAGTTCTCTTTCGCTCAGTTATGTTGTTAATTTAATTGAATACTTCAAATATTTAACCCCGCAATCAGTAAAATCTGACAGACGAGGGAAACTATTAATAACAAAGTTTAAAAGGAGTAACATCACGCAATCTCACAATCACGCTATACTCTTGCTTCATAACACCTAGTCTCAAAAATTAGTTTCCGCGAAACAGGAAGAATGCCCAATCCGCAAAAATAAACAACCACAAAAATTTCGTGCCACACGGTACACCCACCTAGCTTGCTTTGTATCGACCATCAATTATCATTTTCATTTATTTATAGTTTCAGTTCAAACAATTTAATGAGACCCGTGGGTTGGGGTGGTGTCCGGCATGGGAATGGGTTTAGCAGGGTTACTTCTTCCTTTCATACGTTGTCAGCTGTCTGTTGTGGTAAACTTCTCGTTTTCACACAATATATAGGTTTTATGGCAGCCCAGTATACACCTTCTGGTGTCTAGTCTTTAAACTAATCTGTGACCCGTGGATGCTCGTATCGTATTTGAATTGTAATGAAAGATCCCGCTCTCGTTGACATCCGGTCCACTCCATAATTAATCGTTATTGTTAGCCATTAGCAAGAGATACGAGCGGCGAAACAGCAGTTGCACATTGAGAAGGCATTCCAATAAATTCTCACGATTTGGGCTAACCTTGATTAATGATCTCAGGCGCGGATCTAGGATAAATACTGACCGATTTCCTAAACGAGCGCCGAAGGCGCAAACTTCTTGCCGGTTCCGGGGGCAGGTTCCCTCAGGACGTTTCAGTGGATTTTGACTTCTTAAAATCCCCTTTCCAGGGTTTCCGAGTCATTCAGACAGGATTTCAACTTGGAAAGTGTTTCTTATTATTAAAAATATATTTAGTATGAAAAATGTGACCGATTTCTGTAAAACGGTGGAAACCGGTGTGGATCCGCGCCTGGATCTGTTTTAACATGCTCTTAAAACCGAACTATTTACATGTTCTAAAAGTTAAGTTAAAACTAGGTTGCGTGATGTGTCAGGATCATGATAGTGGAGGCTCATGGGTCCTTAAGACCCGTCGGTTCTTGTTCCTGATGAGCATGTTAGCAAAGAAAACGCGGTTAACAAAAATCGGCCCAATAACAATGTAGAAAATAAGTCTACATGAAATGGAATTTGATTCAATGGTTGAAATTTGCAGCTGAACATAAAAACACCATTCTTTGAAAATTGTGATGATGTGATAAAAAGGAACAGGTCCGCTGCATGCATCACAGCATCGCAGTGACTCAATAAGTCAGGATTTATTTGCTGGAGGCAAAAGTAGTTATGCTGACAGAGGTGCGGGTAACCGTTCGGAAAACCCTACGATGCAAAATTAATGTAGTCATTTTTTATTGCGCCCAGTTACCCTGCCTTATTTGCTGATCCTTAAATTAACTTGTCCAACACTTTCACTGCGGACGACGTTGCTTGCCACCTCCGTAAACGACCCGAAATGTTGCCAGTGTCAGTGGTAGTCGGCTCCTGGTACTGATCACCTACATCCACTGACATCACGTGCCTAAAAACTAAGGCTACTGCCTACATCTTTCACAACGCTAAAGAAGCAATGCAAAAACCTACCTTGATATACTGTGATGATGGTTAGTGTCGATGATCGTATTTACTTGTTGACTACTGGTAAATAATATCGGTAAACGAAATAAGGAAATATGGATTGCAAACGGCAGTTTACACAGCTCTGTGTCACGCAATTTGGTTTTATAATATGTAATCTTAGGAGCATATATAGCTTGGCACACACGTAACTAGAGTTGTGGGGAAGGGGGCCTGGGTAGCAATGGCGTAAGACGTGTCCTTGATCCGTCCGCCACATATTCTATTTTTCCCGGGTGATAAATGGAAGAACTGTTGAAAAAGATCTTGGAAAGGTAACCAAGATCACGTTAGTATCGTTTGACCACATTTGCCACCCGTTATTATCAATTGCTAGATAATTATTTAGGCGATCGGAATAGAGGTTCGTAACAGATGGCGCTTCGGTTTTTCTTATCTGTCTGTAAGATTCTAGGTAAAAGTCCTAACTTCCCCCCCCCCATGTCCCTTTACGAAGAGGTTTCTTATTTAGATTGTGTTTATCTGTGCATGTTCTGTTTGGTTTCTATGTTTTAATAGCTTAATCATTTGTTTTAGAAGTAAACGCCTAGTACAAATTCCTATCATACCGTGCAGTGATTGTGGAGCTTTGACACCAGGTGATGTAAGGCTTCCTCTGCAAAGCTGCCCAAGAGAATATCTATTTCTTTGACAATAGCATCACTAAACGTCAGGGGATTAAGAGACAATACAAAGCGTAGAGAGGTGTTTAATTGGCTTCGCATAAAAAATTACTCGGCATATATGCTACAAGAAGTCCACTGCACTGAAAATACTAATCACGTATGGTCTGTTGAATGGGGCTATCAAGCTATTTTTAGTACTTATAAGAGCAATAAAGCAGGGGTATGCATCCTTTTCAACAACAACTTCGATTTTCAAATAGAAAAAACTTACACTGACCCCCAAGGACGCTTCATTATTTGCGACATTAAAACCAATGAAAAGTGTTTTACTTTAGGGAACATATATGCTCCTAATGAAGACAACCCAACTTTCTTCCTTGACTTCTTTGATCACCTTGCAGATTTCAAATGTGATGATATTATTATAGGAGGCGACTACAACCTTGTACTGGATTTAGAGAAGGACAAGATGGGTGGTCTTACTAAAACTCACCAAAATAGTGTTAAAGTTGTTCAAGAATTCTCTGAGAAACTAGATCTGGTAGACGTCTGGAGGATTCTACACCCAGACACTAGTAGATTTACCTGGAGACAACGTCATCCAAAAGTACACTGTAGGCTCGATTTTTTTCTAGTAAGCCAAAGCACAGTTAACATCACGACCCTCGCAGATATCGTCCCAGGTTATAAAACCGACCACTCAATGACTACGTTATGCTTATCACTACATTCAAATCTACGTGGACCAGGTTTCTGGAAACTAAACACATCTTTTTTAACTGAATTGGATTACGTAAACCAAATTAAAACAACGATTCAGGAAACACTCGATGAGTACAAAAATGACGAATCGGTAAATCCTTCACTTCTTTGGGAAATGATAAAGCTAAAAGTGCGCGAAAAATCGCTCCGCTACTCCAAGAGCAAAACAAAGCAAGCTAAACAACGCGAAACATTTCTGGAACAAACAATTGCCAGATTAGAAGCGGATCTCGATAATAAAAACTCCGATGAAATGCACTCCTTACACCTGGAGGAACAATTGAATGAAAGCAGGCTTGAGCTTGAAAAGATAATTGAAATCCGCACCAAAGGCGCAATTTTGAGATCTAAGTCTAAATGGTATAATGAAGGAGAGAAAAACACCAAGTATTTTCTTAATTTAGAAAAACGACACTACAAGCAAGGGACAATAAGTCAAATTAAAATAAACGATAGCGAATTTGTCACCTCGGATAAAAAAATATTAACTGAATGTGTGGCGTTCTATAAAAATCTCTACTCATCCAAAGGTAACACATACAACCAAGATGGTACAACTGTTTTCTTTGAGGGTGGTGATGAAAGAGCCATTGACGAACATGAATTAACTTCGTGCGAAGGAGTTTTAACTGAAAAAGAGTGCCTTGAGGCTTTAAGAGATATGGAATCAGAAAAGACCCCTGGGACCGACGGCCTACCAGCCGAATTTTACAAAGTGTTTTGGAAAGATGTATCCAGCACCCTAATTAGCGCACTGAACTACGCTTATGAAACTGGAAAACTCTCAATAACCCAGAGAAGAGGAATTATCAAACTTATCCCTAAGAAAGACGCAGAACCGTTCTTTATTAAGAATTGGAGACCCCTAACCCTCCTGAACAGCGACTATAAAATAGCGGCAAAATCAATTGCTAATCGCTTGAAACCTCTCCTCCCTGATCTCATTAATTACGACCAGACTGGCTTTATAAGAGGTCGTTTTATCGGAGAAAACATCCGCCTTATCGATAGCGTTATTTGCTACGCTAAAGAAAACAATATACCAGGATTACTTTTGTTTTTAGATTTTGAAAAAGCTTTTGACACGATAGAATGGCCTTTCATTAGGAAAACCTTTCAACATTTTGGTTTTGGTAGTAGCATCTTAAAATGGCTAAACCTTTTCTATTGCTGCCCAGAAAGCTGCGTTTTGAATAATGGTTGGGCGAGTGATTTTTTTGAAATCCAAAAAGGTGTAAGGCAAGGCTGTCCCCTCTCACCTTATCTGTTTGTTCTGGCAGTAGAAGTTTTAGCTAAGGCAATTCGTGAAAATAAAAGTATTAAAGGGATCTTTGTAAACGGTAAAGAAATAAAACTAAGTCAGTATGCAGACGATACAACTCTTATACTAGATGGAACAAAGGAATCGTTAATAGCCTCTCTCAAAACACTGGACGATTTTTATGAAGTCTCTGGCTTAAAACTTAATGACAAAAAAACAGAAGCCTTTTGGATTGGGGCAAATTGTAACAAAGATGAAATATCAATTGTCGGAAGAAACTTTAAATGGCCGAAGTGTAAAGTTAAAGCTTTAGGTGTCTGGTTTTCAAATGATCCGGAAGCAACTGCAACTTTAAATTATAATGAAAAACTAGATAAGGTCCGGAATGTTTTGAGCTGCTGGAAATACCGTAGACTTACCCTAGTTGGAAAGATAACGGTCCTAAAAAGTCTGGTTGCCTCTCAGCTCGTTTATGTGCTCTCACCTTTACATACAAATGTGAAAATTATCAAAGAAGTAAACAAGTTATTTTTTTCATTCCTCTGGAATGGAAAAGGAGATAAAATCAAACGAGACATTATAACAAACGATTATGCTAATGGAGGACTTAAAATGATAGACATACAGTCTTTTAACAAGTCCCTGAAAGCTACATGGATTAAAAAATATCTGGATGAAGAGAACCAGGGAAAATGGAAATATTTTTTTGATATAGAGTTAGAGCGATTTGGAGGCACAATAGTCCTCACTAGTAATTTAAACAAGAAAGATACCATTGAGAATCTCAAGATTAAGAATAACTTTATAAAAGAGATACTTTCAATCTGGGCGGAAGTCAATTTTGATGAAAACATAACGTCCGAGAAACAATTTCTTGAACAAACTTTATGGTACAACTCACTCATTAGAATCGATAACTGCCCCGTCTTCTATCGTGAATGGTTTGATCGAGGCGTTACGAAAGTGAAACATTTGAAAGATGAACATAACAAATTTTTATCACTAGCTGAGCTGCAGCAAAAATACAGCCTCAAAGTTTGTCTTTTAAAGTATTTCGGACTAGTGTCTGCTCTAAAATCTCTTTGGACTACATGTAAAACAAACTGTATCAAAAACTGCAACAATTATGAAACCTTTGTAGTAAGATTAACAGAATGCCAAAGTGCGAGCAAACTTGTATACACCAAGTTGCTTTCTACAAAATGCAAGTTACCATCCCATAATCAACAGAAATGGCTAAAAGACTGCAACGAAAATGATGTGGAGGCGATTAATTGGCGGGAAGCCTACCAGTTGGCCGCTAAATATACTAAAAGTACAAGAATTATTGAATTCCAATATAAATTTTTACATAGACGAATATCAACGAACGACTTCTTAACAAAAATTGGCGTAAAAGACAACCCAAATTGTTCTTTTTGTAATAATGAACCGGAGAAACTTCTTCATCTTTTTTGGTCTTGTCCTAAAGTGGCCTTTTTCTGGCATAGTTTATCTCTTAAGCTGACTTTGCTCCACATTACACCGGAACATTACACATTAGATATATTTGTTGCACTTGGTCTAAAGCCGGATTCTTCAAAAAACTGCCAGCAAATTAATTTCCTTTTCCTTCTAGCCAGAAATTACATCTGGATTAGCAAAAGAAGGGAAACCTCGCCAAAGATAGCAGGCTTCCTGCAATACCTCAAATCATTCTACCACATAGAGACCACTGCAGGTCCCATTTTACCAAAAAAATGGGAAAATGTGAGCTCCTTATTTCAGTAAGCCTTTGATTTTGTATACATTTGTATATCTCGATCCTCTGCTCATTTTCTCCAGCATTAACCTGGTGTATCTTTTGCTTCACAATCGCTGCCTCTTTAAGACACTTAAGATATAAGTGCGTTTACCGTGAATGTTTGGTTTTGTAAATGTTGGTTTTGAAGTACAATTACTAATTAGAACTGCTTGTAAATAGTGCATTGTAGTGCGAGTAGTGAGTAGGTAGTGTTGTAAGTACTGAGTATTGTAAGTCTTTACATTGTAAACAGAGTAAGTACCTTAGTCTATTGTATTCTAAATATTGTATTGTAAGTAGTGTAAGTATCGTAGTGTTTGTAGGTATTTTTGATTGTTGATTGTCGATTGAATAAATGTTATTAAAGATAAAAAATAAATAAATAAATAAAAAAAACCAGAGTTGTGGACAAAATAAATGGAAAATCCCCCCTCCCCACAAGTCAAAGAGGGGCTTCATCCTTGATTTCGGAGGGATGGGGGTGGGATGGTTGCTGTTCCATTTTCTTCTGTCCAAGGTTGCAGGTTCGACATAGACTTCGCGTACTTCGTCGTTTTTTTCAGAGATTATAGAGCAAGCGAATTACGCAAGTGTGCGTGAAAATCTCCTGCCATAATGAAGTTGACGCGATGTCACTTTTTTCGCGGGTGGCGTTATCGCGCGCGCGTCAACTCTCCGTGGTCTAATCTCGGCCTTGAGGCTTCTTCAGTTTTCTTCGCACATTCGAAACAAAGTATTCTCTATTGTTCTAAAGGCCATATGACGCGTTTCCTCCTTGACTTGGGCGAATGGGGGTTTGCTGTTCCATTTTTTTCAGTCCAAGATTCGGTAGGTTTGAAAGAAACTTGAAATCGCTTATCTAAGCGGAAAAACCTGCCGTTAAGAGGGATAGCGCGAAAATATTAAGTGTGCCATGGTGCTTATCCAAACCCGTAAGGCTGAGTATTTTTAAGTTAAGGGGTGGGGCCATGATATTGCTACTAAAGTGTTTAGATATGGCTAGAAATGTATTTAAAACAATTATCTTTTAATAATGAGCGATGCAGCAAATTTTTGATAAAGTTATTTTCACTTTTGTAAGTTATGAATCTGATGATCTACTGGGACCAGGGCCCCGTTTCTCGAAAGTCCCGGTAACTTTTCGGGCCCGAAATCATGCAAATATTCAAATCGAAATATAAAGAATAAGAGCGCTGCTCCTGGCTAGCAAACTACTCCATTTTGTTTCACTAACTGATAGTTCTATCAGGCTAGATGCAAAACATTTGAAACCTCGATCTTTAATATAAACGGAGACGGCTTACCGGGCCCGTTAATTATCGGGACTTTCGAGAAACGGGCCCCAGGTAATATTTTTTTTCTCGACCACCTCAAAAAGCGGGACTGGCCAAAGCCGGCCCACAGCCCTCTCTGCAGTTCCTCCCTGTTCTACTCGAAGTCCATATGGGTTCCTGCTTCCATTAATTGTACTTCCTTAAAACTTGTGGGACATTTTTGAGAGGCAGGTTAGACAGAGGAGAAATTCTTCTGGATATGCGATATTTCCGAGTCAAAGCATGAAAGGTTCGAACGATAACGCTTACCCTTTTTCAGAGGCTACCAAAAGGATTTTCTGTTCAAAGCAAGCAAAGACAAAAATAGACAAGAGCCTGTATAAACTTAAGACATAAGGTCATTAAGTACCCTTGTCACTGTTCGATATTTAAGACTAACTATTATTATATGGTTATGTACATGTCTCAAAAGGACTGGAAACAAACAAATTCAAGAATTTGATTGGCTAAAATCGATTTTGACCGCGGTCTAGATTTTCCCATCTAGACCGGCATCTACAACGATCTTGTTGTAACAGTTGTCCTCAAAAAGTTACCAACAAAGAATATGAAAAAATTGGCTTGTTTGTGCAAAGTCTGTCCAAAGCTGGACTTTGAACAGAAATTTTCGTCCCGTTTGGACTGGAGACCAGTGACAGAAGAAAGTCAGCTAAATGCTTGAGCCCGCGCAAGGAAGCAAATAAAATTATTAATGTTTTTTCCTTTGCTTTCTCGTTTGGCCATATAATAAACATCTTATTAACCGAGCTAGGTCGGTCAGTATGGGAGAATCTTGACCTCGGTCGCTAGTACAGACGTCACTGCGTTTGGTTACGGTGTACTATTTATCACAATGTAGGAACCATCCCTTGATTCCCTAGCAAAGCCTTGGTTTCTTCGGCCTAGTCGTTAAAACGTGGTAGTTCAATAAAGCTGTTGAGGGAAAGATGAACGGAAATCAACAAATGCAAGACAGCAGCAAACTGATCCTTATGGCAAAGGGAAGAGGAACAAAACAAAACAAACGTAAAACAAAATAAAAAACATTTTTTTTAATATTATTTGTTTTGCTTTTCTTCTGTCATGTTCTGCGCAAGGGTCAGTTTGCTTCTGGTTCTTCAATTTTATGTTATTCATTTCTTTGTTTATCTATTTCTTTTGTTTTATTTTTTTACTGATTCCTCAGAGCTTCATTTGTTTATTCATGGTCGACATAGTCGTGGTTTTGCTGTCCAGTTTGAAAGAAATCATGTCCTTAGTACCAAGAAAACCTTGAAAATCACCATAAAGGTGTTTTTCTATTACCAGATATTCTTTACCAGTCAAGAATGAGCCACGTAAGTACCATTTCACGATATATTATTATACATTTATTGCTTTTCCTTCTTTTTGGGTCATAACGAACTCCAAGCCGAGTAAAATATTGACAAAGCACAAGTTTTTCATTGACAAGTCTGATTCCTGTGCAAAATGCAATTTCCATAAACATATCTTTAATTTAATGCCATCAATCTGTTTTGAGTCATGGTATTGCCTATCCGTTGCCACTTTTCGATTTTCCGTTTATCTTTCGTCAGTTTTAATAAGTCGTTTGTTCTTTAGATTTTGTTGTTGTTCTTGTTGTTGTTGTCGCTGCTCCGGTAGCTATTTTTATTTTAGCTATTATGACCAGTTTGTAAGTGCTGAACTAACGGAATCATCAACCAACGCTTACCTGACCAATACAAAAGGAATGATAACCAGCCCAGCGCGGATTACGAACACTAAGCCCGGGAATGTCAGCCCCAGGGTCGCCTGGTATACATTGTTGAAAATTGCAGCGCCCACAAGCTGCATTATAGCGGTAACAACACCATACAGAAAACAGGGAACCTAAAGGATAGAAAATTCACAATGACGTCAGCACTTTCGAACCTCTATAACGATGAGACCTCTCTAAAACAGACACCTAGACCTGTTTCCTGTTGTTATTCAGTCATTTCCTTTGACGCTACATAAGGTGCATAACTCTCTAAGTCGGACACATAGTGGCATTCCCAGCGATGTCAGTTTTGAAGAGAGATTTGACTATTAGCACTTACAGCAGAGACCTTTAAGTCGAGGACGACTTTTCTCAATACTTAATAGTCGCGGTTGAGAAAAGCGTCATTTTGGCATTCTACGAGTAGAATGTTTAACAGAAGTTTTAGCACTTTGTGATTGGAAGAGAGCTTAAACTCCTTCAATAAGAATAACTGTGCTAAACTTTCCGGTGATAAAAAAAAGCACAATAAAGCTTTCCGGGTCCCGGGTCCTCATAGTCGTCCTCGCCCTTAAATCTTAAGGTCCAGTATTGGGCGAACTTCTCCGTTTACATGGGCAAACAAAGACAGTTACGTTTGGCAATGAACGTTTTTAGAAGGAAATTGAACAATTTGAGGTCGCGTATAGGATAAACAAGCTGGGATATTGGCCCGATTTGATTCGAATGCTAAGTTTCTTAAACGAGGCACGCGAGTGAAAATAGTGTACGCCATGTACAGAAGTAAAGAGGTCAGAAGCTGAGAGGGTAATAACTTAATGACATACCTATCAGCAATGTCTACTAAGAAACTAGTTAGTTAATTACCTTGTTCGCCCTCTCCCACAATCTTTGACATTTCACCCATTAGCACTGGGTCAGGAAGTGCATTGAAGATGCCAACGGTCCCAACTGAATTAGTGAAATAAATTAAATTAATTTTATCACTTTGACTTTTCAGGAAGCTTTGTTTGACAGAGATCTACAGTCAAATAGCCCCTACGTACTTTTTAGTGTTAGTCGATATGTGATTACGCGAGTGCGCGCGGCGTTGCTCTGGCCTGGCCCGCTCACTTTATTCGTCTGCTTAATTATTTCCTTAGATTAGCTTAGATTAGATTAACTGTCTTGTATTACACCGTAAACTTCTAGGTATAAGCCCTGGACTTATATACAACAAGCTACATAGCAGTGCGGCTGTGCTGATCAAAAGACGTTTTGAATTTGATTGCTTTTTTAACCTTCAAAACCTCGTAAAATGTCGCATTCATTTCAATACACCATGTTAGAGGGGGGCTTTTAACCGGATGTATTTTTTTTGTTGTTCATTGCAGGTCAGATGGGCCTATAAATGGGGGGGGGGCTTATGGGTATGTAAATGATCTTTTTATCATTTTACATTGTAATTCATTTTTGTCTCATTATATATCTCTAAGTTTGTAACACAGCTTCAATGCAAATCAGCGATCAATTGTTTGAATTTTGTGTTGAAATAAAGTTCATTCGAGAGGAGGCACCAATCTCGTTCCCAGACCTCTTAGAGTAAGACAGAGAGATCTGGGAACGTTAAGAATAGAGATACCGCGAGACGGGCCGGGAGAGAGGTTGTTTGGATAAAAAAGACCTTTTAAAAAGATGTGAGATCCCGAATACGATTTTATTCGTCCTATTCACTTACCAACAAAAATCATCCAAGTACGATCTGAAAAAGCAAGTAGAACCGATGCACTCATAAACGTCACTATACCAATACGCACAACATTCATCTCCCGAAAACAACGTCTAAAGATCTCTACCCCGACTACGCTTCCAATACCTTCCACGAACATTTCAAACGCGGAGTAATAACCCACCAACGTGGGGCGCCAACAGAGAGGACTTCTTAGTACATAAAGCGTCTCCACACCATCGCTACCCACTCTGGACAAGAATATGACGCCCCCACAGAACATCAGCAGAAAGAGATTCTTTCTTCCAGCATCTCTTTGCAATCGGAACAAATTGACAAAACTCTTGATATTTTCAGTGCTGAAAAAGCTAGCTGACGTGTCTGTGACTGGCTTTGGAATTTCTGGCACGCAGAAAAGAGTCCAGACCCCAGCGAGAAAATAGCAGGACCATATGAACCAGACAGATGGGACGAAACCTACATATTCCATCCAGAATCCGCTGGTCAATAAACTGATGACACCAGCTAAGAAAATTGCCAGATACAATATAGCTGTAAATAAGAGAAAAAAAATACAAAATTAATTTTTAAGAAGATTCTGCAAGTCTCTCGACAGCGGCTGCCAGACCCATTGTATAACGTTTAAATACGCAAAAAGTAGACATACTGTGATGGTGTGACAGTGGAGGATACGAATATTATAATCAAAATGAGATCGAGATTTAAAGGCCTTCATCACGTCAAATCATGGTTGACTAAAAATTCTATGAAATACTGTTAATTTTATCAAGTTTAGTCTCAGCTACTGACCTCGTTACAGTAGGCTTCTCACCTATTCGAAAAGCTCTTTCTTCTTTCTCAGAAATATCAGCTATGTACGCCGTGGCTCCAACCATCAAAACTGTAGCAAAACCAGAGAACCCACTGATTGTCGCGGATAAGAATAAGACATATACAGACCATTTGAAGTACATCACCAGTAATGTGACTATCATCTCTAAGCATGCACCTAAGATAGCAAACTGCAGGGCGGGTTTTCGCTTGCCTCCCCTATCTGTCCAGGGTCCCCAAAGGGGAGCCAAAAGAAGAGAGGGGATGACAAGACAAAGGTTGTAGATTAATCCGATTTCAGAGGCAAGACTTTGAACCTGAAAATATAAAACATTAAAAACATTTAGCTAAGAACATCATCTTACTTGGATTCAAATACATAATTGAGGATTACTCCTATGCATCAAGCCGTTTCTTGAACGGCACGCTTGGCCAGGTCGGTGAGAGAGCATCTGAGATTTGCCTGTTGGTAATGTACGAAATTATCTCTAAAATGTACGAAATATATCTCTAGATATCGTACCAAACCACACAAGCACGTGCGCGGCGTACATAGGACTGCAGCGGTAAAATGTCTAGAGTTTGTCTCATGTCTAATTCTGTGAAACTGTGCCTATAGCTAAAACGTTCGCCTCACCTCTTCTTCAAGACGCCATAGTGACGAGTTTCTGTTTAAATTTTCACCTCCACAACTTTCTTTTTCTCGACTGACATTTTTATACGGGAAGCCCTTCATTTCACTGACTCGTTCGTACACGTATATTCCACCAACTGGTATATACATTAGAAAGCCGTAGAAGTAGAAAAAAAACTACAGGTTCCACCGTTAAATACTTTCTCCATAGTGGAAGAGTGTTCCTTGATGGAATCTAAGAGAGTATAAAAGGATCCAAAACAATTGGCTTTCAGGGATGAGGACAACAAGAAAATAGTGGCTACTTAATCACTTCCCATATTTTGCATTATGATTGCTATTTGCTCCACTAAAAACTCCCACTGAATTGTTNCGTATGTGACCCCCCCCCCCCCCCCCCAATTCAATGCTGTTTGCGTCTCTTCAGGGTCACCCTGACAGTGGCCTTTCGTTAACTAGCAATAAATAAGGGGAGAGTTGGGGAGAGGAAGAAGAGGTTTTTAATTTCGTCTTTTTTAGATGAATGCATAAGGAAAGACATTCTCAATTCAAACTGGACCATTTTCCCGTGCAGTTTTCTCCGAGATGGTGCAGTAGACATAAGAATATTTCAACGTAGAACGTTGTATTACTGACAATTTTCTTTGCCTCAACTGCCTACCTTAATCATAGGTTGTAGTAATGACGTTTGACTTTCGACAGAACACGTTTGGATAGGGTGTGGGCAACCAGAATCGGACTTGCGAAGCTGACTTGCAGTGCTTGCGTGACTCATTTTGATGAATCAGATCAGTCGTGCTGGCTCGTCACGCCTGGAGTTTTTTGGCTGAATAGCGGGTGTCTAACATAAGAGAGAGAGTGGGAGAGAGGGAAAAGTTGTGGTCCTCTTTATACAGTTTAGGTAACAAGTAGGCTCTCAACAGTGGTCGTAGGTGTATCGTATTTTCTTGCATTTTAATCGATATCTGCCCTTAAGGTGGATTAATCAATCTAAATGGTATCCAGTCTACATAACTGTAATAATAGTGACAAACCATATGATAAAAGAGCGCTTGTAATTTCCTTTTGAGTCGAAACCCGGTTAAATTTTCTGAGGTGATTTACCTTTCTCTTGCTTTGACTGGAATGTCGTGAGATTTCTGTACCATTTGTCCACAATTACCAGTGCCAAGTCTGTTTCCGAGAAGGCAGCTGTGTCCAATATGGCGTGTTCAAGTTGATGTTCTTCAGGTGCTTCGTCACGCGTTCCTGCTCACAATTTTTAGTAGCAGATTGCGCGACGATGCCCAAAGAACGTCTTCAAAGTGCGACGAATCTTTACCGTTCCGAACCGTACATGACTAGAACAGCTCGCCGCCACCGTTAAGATACTTTTTGCAACACTGACAACTGTAGCAATTACGCTAGACTTGCTACAAGTCGACTTCTTGGCGAGCGGAGCGAGCCTTGTTTGGCCGCGAAGCGGCCGACCGCGAGCGACGAAGTCGGGAGAGGTCCCACGCCATATGAAATCCGACGAAGGACTTTTTTGAAAGTCTACACTTACGCTGGTGAGAAAGACTGTGACCAAGCAAGGTTGACTGATTCCCAGTGAACTCGGAAACATAATGATACTATTTATTTATGCTAGTAATGTGCAGTTTGTGGAATCGTCCTAAACTTTCATTTAAAAGAACGTGCTCAGTTCTTTCGCTTGTGATTCACATCTTTATAAACAACAATCGCAATAGTAACTAGTGAAACGGTATCAATACTTTGTCATAAAATGTTCAGTATTTATGCAAGATTATCGTTGATAAACAAATTATTGTCGAAACTATTGGACACAAACTCAACTGTAACGGGGAATTAGTTACCGGAAGTGCATGTACGAGATTGTAACACTAGGTCGAGGCTGATTGCACTATATTGCATCAGCCCACATTATGGTGAACGTTGTGGAAGAAATCTATCAGTGTTGGAACAAAAACTGAATTGTGTTTTACGTAAAGTTTGTCTTATCCACCAAGAACTATGGCCACGCTTGCAACAGAAACTACTGTGGCAATAGTCAGTTTCGAAGGCGACAGTTAATAGGGTCGTTTGTATGTTTGCAACTGAAGTTTACAAAAATGACAGTGTACTATAGTCAACTTTTGACGTACCGTTGACTACGAGAGAATATGAAACGAAAATACACACCTGACCGCATCTGATCTGACTTGCATCAATCTACATTTTCGCACATCTTTACGTACAGACTGGGTGCAGAGGATAATTAGTTTTTAACTTCATAAATTCTTCATTTAATCAGTCACTGATAAATTGCGTGGGTTTGCGTCACATGAGTACCACGTTTTCGTTCAAAAGCGTGTGATTGTATACAAAGAGATCTCGTGACCATTTATTATGCATGAATAGCCAGCTTCAGGCTTAAATTGCGTGGGTTTGCGTCACATGAAGATCACGTTTTCGTTCAAAAGCGTGTGTTTGTAAACAAAGAGATCTCGTGACTATCTATTATCCATGACTAGCCAGCTTCAGGCTCACAAGAAGGGACGACACGAAAACATCTGGGAGCCAATCTGCCAAATCACGCCTAACACTCCCAGCCTGCTCCTCAGTTAGATTGAAAACAACTACTAACAAAAGCACTTCGTTTCTAGCGGCCTTTACTTCAAAGGGAAGGGTCCTTGGGAACCAAATTGCTAGTCAAAGCACAGTGCTGGGGTTTACAATACAATACAATGGACGTACAGCCCTGTTACAAGCGTCGTGCTACTGCCGTACCAAACTCAAGAATTCGACTTAAGCACGGCAGTAGCGCGACGATTGGTGCTACCGCTGTACCCCAAGCCGAACTCTATTCATACATTATAAATACACCAGAATACATTTAAAAGTTTGCTAAACTGTTTCCTTACTACTCTTTCGTGTTTTGTTTCGGCAACAGCCGACTTGTATTCGACTGAATTAAATTCGACATCTGAAACCAAGTCGTGCTAGTGCTGCAGTCGAGCTACAGTCGAGCCAGCTTAGCACGGCAGTAGCAGGACGTTTAAAACAGGGCTTAGCGACATGGATTAGTCTAGTAAAAGAAAACTTCACCAGTTTACTGCAAATAAAATAAGTAGAATATGTGACAAAAAATAAATAAGACACTGTACAAAAGCTATTTACAATCAAACTTAGCAATACTATCAAAAAGTATTCACAAAGTCGATTAAAGGACGATTCGTAGATACTATAAAAATAATTAGAACTGTCCTTTCCTCTCAAGGTATATGTTGTTTCTCTTGATGAGATTAACTCATTCAAACACTCCGGGTTTGTTTTAATGATTTCCTGATGAGTTTATAAACCGAACAGAGGATTTTATGCAATCTTTGCTCCATCAGGGTTCTTCCGGACCTAAAAGCTTAAAGTTCTTCATATATAGTGTGTCTACTCTAAAAACAAACCGAACGGCTCTTTCATTTACCTTTTACCAGTTTTTTACCCTTATTGGGGAGCAAGGGATGGTACAGTGGTGAGAGCTCTCGCCTCCCACCAATGTGGCCCGGGTTCGACTCCCGGCGTCGACCGCCATATGTGGGTTGAGTTTGTTGTTGGTTCTCTCCCTTGCTCCGAGAGGTACTCCGGGTACTCCGGTTTTCCCCTCTCCTCAAAAAAACCAACACTTCCAAATTTCAATTCGATCTGGAACGCACGGGCACGTTTAAACGAGTTCATATGAACTCCTAGGTGCTTCGAGGGTAAAAAAGCAATTTAACCCTAACCCTAACCCTAACCCTAACCCCTAACCCTAACCCTAACCCTAGGGTAAGTATGGATCCTTGGAGAATTCCAGCCGTTATATCCTGCCCTGTCAAATGCGGAACGTTCCCAAGTTTTACCTGTTGCCGTCGATTGGAAAGATAGTCTCCCGAGGATTTTTTTTAGGAGGGGGTGCACTTGTCTCTTGCTCTACTTCAACACCAATAAACCACATAGTTTTTTTTTTTTTGGCAGAATACCAGTTGTATTAGAAAACCGCAGGTCATAGCAAGGGGGGTGCGCACCCCCTGCACCCTTCCCCTAGATCCGCCCCAGCACGTTCACAAACACTAAGTCTTCATTTTACGCCAGACGTTTGCAGTTGCGTCTGACAAAACGTTTTATGCAGTTCCTGGGTACCGTATCACGACCGGTTAGAGGCCAGAATATTGGCTCTGAAGCTCAGGGTTATGCCCCTGTTAGTATTTTAAGGGAGATTACAGTTGAATTTTGGGGGAATTGGGGTTGAATTGAAAATGAAACAAAGAAGGATAGAAAAGGGTAATTACACGTAAGCCGGTTAGTCCGCTCTGAATTGGCTCAGGGCCATCTTGTTGTGGTGGCGGACTGTCTGGTCTTTGGTAATTATTCTCTTCAAATGTTAATTTTTAACTACCCTTAAATCCAATATTTTCTCATTTTTCCATAACTTTTAACATTTGCCCTTCAAATTTTTACTGATTACAAATATTCTAACTTCACCAAAAAATTCTCAAAAACTCATCGTTCCAAGAACTTCAGAATGTGTGTTTATTTTTAAAATCGAATGACATTTTGACAAGATTATCAAGGAAAGTATTCAAGTATAATACAAACAATGCGTTTAACTGTAATCCGCCCTAAATACTGTTTATAAGCTTTTCTTCCTCGCAGTTACAGCCCATCTTTGTGTCGTTTGTCACCATTTAAGCTGTCTTGAGTCGCTGTTTCAAGGACATGTCGCTCAGTGTCGGGATTTTACTCTTGTGGATAGTACTATATAATATATACACACCCACATCGTGATTGGACTATCTTTTTTCCTACTTAATATCCCCTTTATTTCGAGTGTATTTACAAAGAAAAACTTGTGGATAGTACTATATAATATATACACACCCACATCGTGATTGGACTATCTTTTTTCCTACTTAATATCCCCTTTATTTCGAGTGTATTTACAAAGAAAATAAACGATTCAAATGCTTCGGGAGCCCATAGGACTTGTACAATACAATCACGTTCTGAAGTGAATTTAATTTTTGTTGTTGTTGTTGTTGTTTTTGAAAGAGTTGACTTGGTTGTTTCAGCTACCTTAAAAGCTCAAATGATAGAATTATTTTTTCTTCTAAACTGACTTACAAAAGATTTATGGATTCAAAAATGATTTGCATTGTTAGTTCTGATCGGTAAGCAAATAACGGATAAACCACCCCATTAAGTCCCGTTAGTGGGCCCATTGTAAGGCTTCGGGAAAAAAGTGAATCAGGTTTTCCCAGTTAATGTTCTAACTATTTGCTGTCTTCTACACAAGCTCTATGTGTTCTGGGTTCTTGGCCGTTTTGTCTACTTGGTTCTCGTTGACATCGTTATTACTCTTTGTTTTAGTTAAGAAGGTGTCGTCTTCTTTATTGCCATTTGCTTCTCCGCTCTTCAATCCAGGCTCCTCATCTACCATTTCTATCTGTTGTACTTCAATTTCCGGCGGTGAAATGTGCATGCAGCTACAAAACAGGAAATGTAGAAACAAAAGCACTTAGGTCATGACATTCTCAGTGTTCTTGCCCGGTAAACACAAATGATTATTATGTTATTAGAAAGAATGAAATTAAGTTTCTGAGCCAGTGATGCACTTTCAAAATAACACCAAAAACTCCCATAAATGCTATTCTTTAGACGAAAGGAATGCACAGGGTGGAAAAACCTATCTACCCCAAACTCCTTCTTAACTGAATTTAACAAGGTACTGAATTCCTGTAACTTCATTAAAGGAAATAACTTTTCCAGTATTTTGAAGAAGAAGATGAACCAAAACGCATGGTAACTCGTTTCCAAATCTTAGCACGAAAATAATCATGGCTTTTAAATTGAAGAAGGGTTAATATTAATTATCCAAAAAAACTCAAAATATTAAACTCCATGTATTGTAATTTTAGCCAAGAAGTTCAAGATTGAAGGACAATTGAGCAACAGATTAAAGTGTGATGAGAAAACGGCCGATGGAAAACAAGAAACAAAATAAAATTAAAAGTCACTTGACTTTGGTAAAGAGCTTTCAAACAGTACTATTAAACAAAGCAAAGACAAGCCAAGTTTCAAATGATCCCGCATGTACTGGAGAGGCTGCAATACTCCAGACATTTATTGAAACACTTAACGTCACATTACGCCCTCCCCAATGCTGATTCACAGCTAGTCACGTATCAACCACGGGTTGCAAATAATCGTCAATCTCAACATTGGGGAAGGAGAGAAGAAGTACCCACGGGGAAAAGCTGGATAAGTTGGTTGAAAAGGCGTGACATGAAAAAAACCTCACTGTGGAATTCAGTCTAGTGTTTCAACGAAATTTGAAGAGTAAAGAGCCATAATGGAAGTTGCTATCATAGAACAGGTTGACAGATGTTCTTTCATTCACCGCGCCGATCAGACTGCATGGTCTTCAATGAGACGAAACAATTACAACGACCTTGATTTTCATTACCTGATGATTACAAGTGGAAAAGTTTTCAAACCAGCGTTTAACAGAAATACCAAGCCATTGAAGCCGATGCCCAGCGTCGATTCGTATACATTGTTAAAAATCATTGCACCAATAAAATTTGAAAAGACATTCAGAATCCCGTAGACACAAAACAAGGAACCTGAATAAAAAAAAGAAACCAAATTATTCGTTTGCACAATATTAACCAAACAGAAATATGGCAGCACAAAGCCCCACCAGCACACAATCTCTTTGGTATGGACAGTATTTCACGCATGCGCACGGTCATGACCGCTGTTTCGTCCTTGTATAGCTCCAGACGAAGGTGTGAATGTAAAAAGCCTTCTAGAGACACATTAGATATAATTATGATCCTTTCAAGGTTGATGATAGATAAGACCACAGTTAAATGACCTATTTTGCAAATTAGCGCGTTGCTAAGGCTAACACATTGTTTACGTACGACGCCATATTGAAAGCACGTCACGAAACGAGTTCAAACGAAGATTTTCGCATTTTCTCGCCACGCTCCGTGCTACAATCGAGTCAGTGTCACAACAAACATTAAAAACAGTGGTTACTCGTAAGAATTCAAGATGACGACGAAGAAAACAGCGCAGCGCGACGAAAATTAAGGGCGGTTTTCCAACTGCGTTGGACCGCATGAAAAAAAAATTATGTAAAAAGATGAGGATTTAAAATACCGTGCTGAAACTTGCCAGGTTTTTTCACATCGTGTTAGAGAAAAACGTCTTAAATTCCCGGCAATGAGGGAACATTTTGGAATTTTTGGCTGCGGCCTGAAATATAAGTCAGTTCCAATTTTATTTGTATTCCTAATTATCGAGGGAAAGCCAGAAATATGCAATTCCTGATTTTTTTGAGCTTGTGATATAAATCAGAAATCACAACTAAGGTGTGACAATAATAGACACCTCGGATAGACCTGTGTAATTTTTATTTTGCAAAATTCTTTTAATTATTTTGTGAGAAATAAATTTTTCAAATGGAATAGTTTATAGCAGATCTAATACTAGTTAATTTCCTAATTTTTTTAAAAGTTCACTAAAAAGGTTGTTAATGTTTGAAAACTGAAACTAGTGTTATGGTTGGAGCCATTTTAAAAGCATAAGACTACTCGGGCGCAAAGCTTTTTCAACTAAACGATGCTCAATATTACTTCAACAAAAGAGAAAAGATAGCTACGTTAACTAATTATTTAATACATCCTTGCCCACTTTTCTTATTACTGGTAAATGAAATCTTAGCAAATATAAGAAGACAATGCCTTGGACGTTTGACCGCGGTGGGCAGATAAAACTTTTATCGGGACTGACAAAACAAGTGCAAAAAAATGGTAACCAGTGAGTGTTTCATTTCTTGTATATCAGTTTTAATGATAGCCCCCAACTTAACTCTTGTCCACATCCTTCCTCCCGCTATAGAACATTTTCCCTCACGCGGCCAATTGCAACATCTATGCAAATTTATTGGAACAAAAGAAAGCGTTTGCATAAGAGAAGAATTCAACTCCCACAGGATTATTGGTAAATCTTGGAACACTAACATGGCCGTCGTTTCTTTGTTTTGGAACACCAATATGGCCGCCATGACGTCATGTGAAAACGCTCTGTAGTTTGATGGATCCGTTCCCCACCATTCATCCATTGAACACATTACGTTGCCATGCAACAAAATAATCTATTACAACCTTCCATACTTGTTTAGCAACTCTGTGTCTCCCAATTTTTACATCAAAACTTAGCACTGTAGTTTTAAATCTCACGTGCTATTGCGATCTTACAGGCACATACCCTGTTCATCAGCTTCGACTGTCTTTGATGCAATTGCGGTCAAAATTGGACCGACAGCTCCACTGAGAAAACCCAACGCGGGTACTACAGAGTAAGACGAAAAATTGCAAAATTTAGAAATGAATTCATGACTGCCACTACCTGACACAAATTAGAGGCTTGGGTGGACAAAATACAGTGATTTGTATCAAGTTGTCCTCACCAGTAAACTTGGTTTTACATAGGTTGCATATATACAGACTTCCGCTATTTCCTTTGCTTTAGGAGATGCTGCATACAAGTTTATTTGAATCCACTCACATCAAAAAATTTCACGACAGATGAAAACAAAACCCTGCCTACATACCAGTGAAAACCAACCATGTGCGGTCTGCAAACGCCAGGATTCCCATTTCAACCATCTGATTAATAATCGCGATAAGAGAAGTTGTTTTCTCGCTGAAACACATTCGGAACAACTTTACTCCCACTGCTCCTCCAAATCCCTGAAGGAACATCCTGTACGCCAGGAAGTAACCTACAAGCGTTGGACCAAAACACAGCGGACTTCTCATCACGAAAAGAGCTGGAACACCTCCAAGTCCCTGAACAGTTACGGTTAGAATAGCTCCCGCAACCGCCACCAGCAGCAGAGTTTTTCGTGCACCCCGTGGGCGTGGCTTCTTGAAGACGTTTACAAGAATCTTCAAATTTTTGAGATCAAAAAACTTGTGTTTGACATTCGCGGTTTGATTATGGAGTTCTGGCACCATGAATATGGCCCAGAGGCCGCTCGCCAATAGACAGGCAAGGACGAGCCATGTTGGGGCAATAAACCCTAACCTATCAATCCACAAACCACTAGTCAACTGACTGATGACTCCACCAGTGAAAACAAGCATCTGCATGATGGCTGGAAGTAAAACGAAACAGTTAGTATTCTCTCTATACTTCTTTCTACACATGAAGTACGCCTATACAGGCCAGAAACATCCCTTCTTCTGGGTCCTTGCTCCCGGTCTTCCTTTGTTTACTGTCTCTTTCAAGCGCTATCCTGCGAATACAGCCGCCTTTCACTGTCGTAGCGGTGAACAACACCCAACGACTGTTTTTCTCGCCCCATGTAAGGGAATCCAAGACAGTCTTGGATTCTGGATTCCATGCTATGGATTCTCGGTTCCAAGGTACTGGATTCCAGATTCA